GAGGGGTGGGGTGCACTGCCAGCAAGTTCTGTGCTGGTCTGCTGTGGGAGGGTGCGTGAAAACTCCTGCCTAGTCCAGGATGGAGGGAGAGCATCTGCAGGAGAATGCAGGTTGGGGTGCACTGTTATCAAACTAGGCAGAGGGTGTTTGCTCTGTGCTGTTCCTGCAGGTGCCTGTGTGTCTAGGCTAGGGTAAGGGGTAGGAGAGGAAAATGGTGCCCACCAGCTCTTTTGTTCTTGGAGAATCTTACAAAGATCCCTACCCCTCCAGCACCTGCTCTGAGATTAGTAAATAACTCTCCTTCTCTTACGCCCCAGGTTTTTTTTTTTTTCAAACTGCCATTTCTATGCTGTATCTTAGTGGGACTCTTTGTTGTGCTATCTCTTTAAGTGTGGGGACTCAATTTCCTATTGCCCTCCAGCTCTCCCAGAGCTCAGCTTGCTCATTTTTAAAGTTTAAGGTGTTAAGCTACACTGATTATAAACTTGTGAAATTAGGCCCCTGTGGTTTTCAAAGCCCAGTGTTATGGGGATTCATCTTCCCAGTGTGGCTCCTTCATGCTTGGGGTGCCTGGTGTGGGGTGTGCTCCTTTCCCCTCTCTGTGCCAGTGGCATCCCTCCTTCCCATAGACAGTACTGTGAGTCAGTCTGGTACCTGACCATGTCTCCACCCTTGCTACCCTCTTCATTGTGGTCTCTTCTTTTACATTTAGCTGTGGAGAGTCTATTCTGCCAGTCTTTGGGTCATTATTCTGGGTTATTTACACTGATGTGGGTGTTATCTAGTGTACCTGTGGGACAAGGTGAGCCTAGGATCCTCCTCTTCTGCCATCTTCCCTGAAAGTCTGAATTTTTTTAAAGATATAATTGACAAACATTTAGCTAGGCTAAGAAAAAGAGTAGATTCAGATAAGATAAGAAACAAAAGAGGAAATATTATAACTGATGCTACAGTGAGAGGGTTGGGGGTGAGGGTCATAAAAGACCACTGTGAGCAGTCATACACCAACCATTGGATAATCCTGAAGAAATAGATAAATATTTAGGAACATACAACCTACCAAGACTGAATCAGTGAGAAAAAGAAAATCTGAACAGAACAAAATATAGTAAGGAGATTGAAGCAGTATTCAAAAATCCAACAAAGAAAAGATCAGGATCAGGTGGTTTCACTGATGAATTCTGCCAAACATCTAAGGAAGATTAATAGTAGGAGATTATTGAAGACTTTTGAAACTTTCAAAAAATTATAAAGGAGGGACCACTTCCAAATTCATTTTATGAGGTCAGTACTATCCTGACACCGAAACCAAAGATACTACAAGCAAAGAAAACTACAGGTCAATATCCCTGATGAGTATAGGTGCAAAAATCCTCAACAAAATACTAGCAACCAACTTTAATCATGCATTGAAAAAATCATACCATGTGAAATTTATCCCTGCAAGGCAAGGATGGTTCAGCATACACAAATTAATATGATATACTGCATTAACAGAATGAAAGATAAATATCACATGATCACCTGAATTGATGAAGAAAAGCATTTGACAAGATTTAACACTTTTTCATGATAAGAATATTCAAAATACTAGAAATAGAAACTACCTCAACATAATAAAGGCCATTGTGAAAAACACACAGCTAACATCATACTCAGTGATGAAAGACTGAATGTGTTTCCTCTAAAGTCAAAACCGAGACAAGCATGCCCACTCTCACCACTTCTAAGCAACATAGTACTAGAAGTCCTAGCCAGAGCAATTAAGCAAGGAAAGGAAGAAGTAAAATCATCTGTATTTGTAGATGACATGATCTTATATACAGAAAACTCTAAAGACTCCACAAAAAGTTGTTAGAACCAATAAACAAATTCAGCAAAATTGCAGATACATAATTAACATACAAAAATCAGATGCATTTCTGTACACTAACAACTATCCAAAAAGAAAGTTGGAAAAACAATCTGATTTAAAATAACATCCAAAAGAGTAAAATAGGAATGAACTTAATTAAGGAGGTGAAGACTATAAAACATTGCTGAAAGAAATTAAAGAAGATACAAATAAGTGAAGACATCTTGTGTTCATAGGTTAGAAGACTTAGTATTGTTAAAATGTCCATGATACCCAAAATCATCTACAGATTCAGTGCAATACTGATCAAAACCCTACTGGCATTTTTTTATAGTAATAGAAAAAGAAATAATTCAAATATTCACGGGGAACCACAAAGAATCCTGAATAGCCAAAACAATCTTGAGAAAGAAACACAAAGCTGGAGGTAGCACACTTCCTTATTTCAAAATATATTACAAAGCTATATTAATTAAAACAGTATGGTAGTGGTCTAAGGACAGTGGAACAGAATAGAGTGCCCAGAAATAAACCCATGCATAAATGGCCAACTGATCTTTGACTAGAATGCCAAGAATACACAATGGAGAAAGGATAGTCTTTTCAACAGATGGTGTTGGGAAAGCTGGATAGTCCTATGCAAAAGAATGAAGTTGAACCCTTGTTATATACCATATACAAAAATCAACTCAAAATGGATCAAAGACTTAAATATAAGACCTAAAACTGTGAAACTCTAGAAGAAAACTTGGGGGAAATTCTTCATGACTATGGACTTGGCTATGACACAAAAGTACAAACAATGAAAGAAAAGTTAGGTAAGTGGGTCTACACCAGACTTAAGAGTTTTTGAACAGCAAAGGAATTAACAGAGAGAACAGGTACATGAAAGAATGGAATGAAAGAAAATATTTGCAAACCATAAATCCAATAAGGGGTTAATATTCAAAATACATGAAGAACTACAACAACTGAGTAACAACCAAATAACCCAATTTAAAAATAGCAAAGGACTTGAACAGATATTTTTCCAAAGAAGACATACAGTTGACCAACAGGTATATGAAAAGATGCTCAACATCACTCATCGTCAGGGAAATGCAAATAAAACCCACAATGAGTCATTCACAATGATGAATGAATCACACCTGTTAGGGAAGACTATTATTAAAAACCAAAGGGAAAAAATAACCACCAAAAGATACCAAGTGTTGGGGCGCCTGGGTGGCTCAGTTGTTAAGCGTCTGCCTTCGGCTCAGGTCATGATCCCAGGGTCCTGGGATCAAGCCCCGCATGGGGCCTCCTGCTCTGTGGGAAGCCTGCTTCTCTCTCTCTCACTCCCCCTGCTAGTGTTCCCTCTCTCGCTGTCTCTCTCTCTGTCAAATAAAATCTGTAAAAAAAAAAAAAGATACCAAGTGTTGGCAAAGATGTAGAGAAATAATTAAAACTCTGTACACTGTTGATGGGAATTTAATACAGTGCAACTGCTATGGGAAACAGTATGGAATTTCCTCAAAAAATTAAAAATGGAACAACCATATGATCCAGCAATTACACTTCTGGATATATGTGCAAAAGAATTCAAAGCAAAATCTTGAAGAGATATTTACACACCCAAGTTTATTACAGCATTATTCACAATAGCCAAGACATAGCACAGCCTACATTTGATCAGTGGTAAATGAACAGAGAAAATATCGTGTATATATATATGCAATGGAATATTATTCAGCCTTAAAAAGGAAATTTTGTCGCATGTGATAACATGGAAGAATCTTGAGGATATTATGCTAAGTGAAATTAACCAGTTACAGAAGGACAACTATGGCATGATAGCACTTCTTTGAGGTATCTAGAATAGTCAAACTCAGAGAAGCAGAGAGGAGAACGGTGGTTTCCAGGGACTAGAGGAGGGGGAAATGGAGAGCTGCAATTTAATAGGTATAAAGTTTCAGTTATGCAAGACGAGTAAGTTCTAGGGATCTTCTGTACCACATGGTGCCTACGGATAACAACATTATACACTTTAAAATGTGTAAGGGGGTAGACCTCATGTTAAATGTTCTTACCAAAATTTAAAACAAGAAGAAACTGACTATAAGGTATTGAACAAGTCTCAGTAGATTGTTTAGGTAGTTTTTATTTTTGTTCGGAGTTTTGTTTGCTAGTTTACCATGATGGTAAGCATTCTGTGCGACGATCCTTGTCTCTGGTGCGGTTCTTCTTGTACTTAGGGCTGGATTTATGCCAATATACGATGTGATTCTGACTGTGTTAAAGTTTGAGAGGCATGCAAAAGGCCTAAACCTGACAATGTCTTCCTCTTTGCTTTGAAGCTCCCAAAGTTTATCATCCGTTTGAGCTAAGGATATCGTCGTTATTCAGATCAAGCTGTTTCCAGATAGTCACTGATATATTGATACCTAGCATTGTTTAAATAATCTCATCAGCTGAGAGCAGGTGCATTTTAATACATTTTGGAGGATTAGAAATGGATCCAAAAGAGAGGTAACATAACAACACTAAGAGATTTGGAATGAGGAAGAAAGGGAGGGGGGGTCAAGGTTTCAGGACAGACAAGGCTGTGGTAGAAATACTAACATGGAGTGTTCCGTCCATGCTTGGGGGCAGCCCTTCTTGTGCTCACCATTTAGCATGATTGACAACTCTTAAAGAGAAAAGGCCATGGTCATGACCCAAAGCTCTTCTTGCTTTTTTTTTTCTTTTATCCTTCCCTTTCCTTTCTTTTTCTGAAACAGCAAGCTATGATGTGTAAATACCGCATCTGTCACAGTGACCTCATTACTGTGCCATCCTCTAAGCAATTGGTGCCTGATGCTAATTACTACGATGAATGTAGCTTGTGGGAAACTGAATATCCCAGTGTAAAATAGGAGACCAAATGCCCTTATCTCTAAAGTGAGGGTATCAGACCAACTGATCAATATGAGTGCTTTGATTAAAATTCTCTATTTGTTAAGCATTTATATGTATGTAAATACTTTCACTTTTTCCTCTGATCTCTGAGGAAGTGCATAAAGTTTGAATTTGTCACAACTTCCCAGGGGTGACTCTCAGCTGAAATGTCACTGACAGCTTGTGGTTTGGACTTTTTTTTTTTTTTTAACTCCAGGCAGAAACAACGAGAAGCCCTTGAACAAGTGCAAGAAGATGCTGTCAACCAGGAAGCTGTCGTTAGGAAGAAGGTCCAGAGAACCAGCCAATGGCTGGAGGACAGGGAGGAGCAGGTAGGGTAGCCTATGACTACTTTATATTCAAGGGGAAGTTTCCTCAGATGTCCTTGAAACCATGAAGTATAAAACGGAGGAGGAACAGAAAAGAAAAAAAAAAAAAAAAAAAAAACCAAAGAGGAACTGCGAAAAAAAAAAAAAGGCGACCAGCAGTGAGCGGAGGAAGTACAGGGGAGTTGTAAAGGAGGTGGTGTCAACAGCCTCCTGATGAAAGAGGCATCTTTGCAGAAAGAGGCAACTTGACATATCAGGACTTTTACCACTGTAGATATACCTTAGGAGCCCATGCAAAGCCCATGCAAATACAGAATTGCAGAAGTTCACTAGAGGCTTATCACTTCCCTGAGAAGAAAAGCACATTTTCAGTTTCGTGTGCATAATACCGGTGAGTGCTCAATTGCTTTCTTTCCTGGCCACCCTGCTAAAATCCAGTATTAACCGTACGTGTCCAGGTTGAGGATCGAGATCCGGCAGCCCACTCAGCTGGCGACAAAGCGAAGTCTTTGCTGCATGAATTAGAGGAAGCAATCTCGGAACAACCGAATCTCCAGACTGTAAATACCGTGTTGGTGAACATTTGCCAGACACTTGAGCAGAAGACGAGGAAATTGAAAAGTGAGTAGCAAATATGTGTTATGTCCCAATTCAGTCCACTCGGAGGTGGGGCAAAAGGACTACAGCCATTTTTGTAGATGAGACAGCTGCTGTGTTAATACCCACATTTATGACAATAAAATGGTTCCAGAAGGCAGTATCGTGGGCTTCCAGAGAGGCTTGCCTGGTGTCCAAGTAGGCTGATTTAATGACTAACTTTCCCTTTCAGTGTTTTTTTTGGTTGTTGTTGTTGTTGTTATGAGCTGGATTTGTCCATGACTGTTATTTCTTTAAAAATTAAAGTTCTCAATATCTGTAAAAGTAAACAAGGGGGAAAAAATCTTGTATGCATGGGGTATTTGAACTTGCAAATGGCTTACCTATTCTACCCTGATTTTATTAGCTAGCTTGTACCCATTATATGGTAGAAAAGGACCTGCCCCTCTATTTTCTTTTATATAGTAATTTTAGGGGTGGGCAAAATACTTATGAATTCTGTGCATCAAAATATTAAATATGTGAAAATCCTTTTTAAATTTTAATGTGCTCTTTACAAATATATTTTGCTTTAAAAAATTAGAATATTTGTCATTTTTCTGTATTACCTGAAAGTAACTGTTTACTAAGGATTTAGGTGAAAAGACAACTGTCAAATGACAGATGTCAGATTATTCAGAAGCGAATTTTATTCTAGAAACATAATTTGGTAAAAATAAAGCTTATTTGACCATTTATCAGGCAATTGCTTTTGTTTGGCCAGCTTCTTATTCTAGCTGTCCTACATGCTCTTTTTAGACAAAATTATTGATTTGGGTAACAAATGAATTATCAACTTAAGCTAAGCTAGAGAAGGAGATTTTCAGACCTGGGTTTGTTTTGGATTTATTGTATCCTTTCTACTGCTATCTGAGAACGCTGTTTAAAAGTTTAAAGGACTTGGCTAGTTCTAACCGAACAGTAATTATTCAGTATTTTATTATTATTATTTTTAAACCTTGCAGGACTTGCTAGTTTTCAATAATTTTAAGTATGACAGTGTAAGTCTTTAAATTACATAATCTATATGTTATTTTATGATTGCTCAGAGAGCATTGGAAAAGGTTCCATTGTGATTGAAAGTGTTCATGTTGAGACGTGAATAATAAGGCGTTCCAAATTTGGTTTATGGTATGTTTGCTTTAGACACTGTACTTAGAGGACTAATCTTTTGGTTCAGTTATATTTATCTTCGATTAAGTCAACATTATACATCATAGTTTTATAAAACTAAGAATTTATCTCCTCCCACAACTCTCCCCCCTGCCCCTTTGATTTCCTTTTAGTACCTTCTTGGAAGAGTCAAATTTTGTAACTTATCCCAAAATATACATTCCTGATATAATGAACTCGCTATTGTCTTCTCACTTCATTGGTCCAAATATTCTTAAAAATAGAAGATGAAAGCCACCCTGGGTTGCAAGCCTGTATTTTTTTTTCTTGGCTGCATAAAGTTGCTCACAACCTGCCTAGCTTTTTGAGTTCTTTTACTTGTTTATATCTTTTGCTGCCCGTAGAAGGCATACATATCAAGATTTTGCTCTGAAGACCATTTGCTTATGAGGATTTTTCTAACAATGCCCTTAAAAATCGACCTTTGCAACAAGAGGGAAATTTAGGTGGCACATATTTTTGAAATGTTCTGTGGAGCAGATTTTCCAGATAGACTGTGAATAAATGTCAGTGAGGTAGGACAGTTATCACATAAACACATCCTGGCACATTCCACCATTACCACTGTCACCACATGCTGTTTGAATTCTGAGTCAGACGTTTGAATTCTGAGTCAGAAAACAAAAATACTCAAATCCATTTAGTTCTTCTGAAACTTTCTGGTTAGCTTAATACATTTATTAAGTGTTTAAGGCAATGGCTTTTTGTCGTGTCCGAGAATGGTTCTTTTGCAAATTGGGTGGGGATTCAGTGATTGTGTCCAATTGTTCAGGTCAATGACAGGGTTCTTAAACTGGAACTAGGAAGTTGTTTATGACATTTGATTAGAAATCCTGAACTTCATATTGAAGAAGTAATATTGTTCATGTTTTCAATGGCCACCAGGACTGGACTGCTGTATGAGGTTCTAAGTATACATGGCCAGCTTCTGTGACATGTGCCATTAGAACTGCTAAGTTTCTTGAATGGTTACTTACATATTTTCTTTCTTCTGCTTCTTACTTATGTATGTATCCAAGTATCTTGTTAACAAAGGCAATACTAGGTATAAATGGATGTTTGTTTTGAAAAGGAAACAGAAACCCTTCTTAGATCTAGGGTGTTTACCCAACGTATTAAAGTGAATCTAATGAGACATAGACCACTTGATCTAATAGATCAAGTTTGCTGTTCATCCTCCTCTTGCCCCTTCTAACATGAAATTTTCATTGAGTCCCTGATTTAATCAATAATGAGAGAACTGATTACTTTTAGAAACTATAAATATTTCCTTGGCAAGAGAGCCTGAGCGGCTCCTGTGTATCAGAATTCCTTATTTGAACATAGTAGCTGTATAAACTTTAGAGAAGGATTTCACCTAGATGAACCCACTGGAAACTGTCTTCTGATTTGCTGTCCTTAGCACGGAGGGCATGGGGTAGGGGACAGATAAGAGCCTTATGGCTTTGAGGATGGATGCAAGATGAGAGCCACGTGTCTCGAGCAGTCAGTACCTAAGAGGGAAATGAGACACTAAAGGGGGCTTGAGGTGATTGAGACACTTAAAGATAGGCATTAGGTTGAGGACCAAGGGAAAAACCCAAAATCAGATAGAGCTTGCTCAGCAGCTCTGATGGGATGGGCGCCTAAGTTTTCCCAAATGTATGCAGAAATGGATGAAATAATCTAGGAGGCCATATAGCATAATGACTTAAGAGCATGGTATTTGGCCTTAAACAAACCTATGTTCTAAGTCAAAAGCGAAACTGGATAAAGTTAGGCAAATCTCTTTACCTCTTTGGGTATTCAGTATCCCCTTCCAGAAAATGCAGTAGGTAATTTATAACTAACAAATGCAAAACAATAGCTAGTGCTTGGTCATACTTGGGAGAGTCTGTTCTGCTAGAGCACGTTTCTGCCGCGTGCATTACCTTGTTCACCATTAGCCAACGGGTAATGACGCGAATGTCAGATGGAAGTTGTGTCGTTTCATTCATGATTTTCCTAGGTAGGGGATCTGGGTGGGTAGGGATAGAACCATAACCTTCAGCGGGGAAGGAGAAAGTGTTTGGCTTGGCTGCTGACAAACAGCAGGAGCCCTTTTAGCTTTATTTTGCAAGTGTCTGCACTTGGGCCTCCTCGCCAAGAGAAGTGCGGCCCAGCCTTGCAGGGCTCTGGCTCGAGGCCAGCTCTGCTCCCTCCTGCATTCACTGCAGCAGTTCCACTGCCTGAGTTCTACTCCCATCTGCATTTTCTTAGCATCCCACGAGCACTGCACCATTTAAATGTCACCAGCATCTCTACGCTTTTGTTATCTATTCCTATTATCCTGTGGGGCAGCCTTTGGTCATTTTAGGAGGCACGTCTCGGTGATCCAAGTTATCTTCCCAGGCACTATAATTATTTATAATTGTGTTTGTTAGTGCTCTGGTTACAGTGTTGCATATACATTTTTAGTGGTCTCTTCCTAAGGATGTTTATCTCATAAACTCTGTTATTTTTGTTCTTGTAACTTTTACGTTCTTTTTTTATTAATGCATAATTAACATCATGAAATTTTTTTATCTTAAGTGTATTAGTTTTTTTTTAAAGATATTATTTATTTATTTGACAGAGAGAGAGAGAGAGAGAGAGCAAAAGCGGGGAAGCGGGACAGGGAGAAGCAGGCTCCCCACTGAGTAGGGAGCCTGACACAGAGCTTTTTCCCAGGACCCCAGGATCATGACCTGGGCTGAAGGCAGTCGTTTAACTGACTGAGCCACCCAGGCACCTCCTTAAGTGTCTTGTTTAACCAGTTTGCCAAATGCACATCGAAACACAAAACTGTAACCCCAGAAAGTTCCTTTGTGCTACTTTCCAGTCACTGCCCCTCCCCCACCTCCACCACTATAAGGATCAACCTCTGATCTGATTTTTATCACTAATGGGTTAGTTTAGCTTCAAGAATTGAGATATAAAATATGTACTTTTGTGTTTTTGTCTTCTTTCCCTCAACATAATATTTATCTTAATATGTTGTGTTTATTCATGGTATGCCTTTTTCATGATGGAGTCATATTTCTTGGTATGAACGGTTACACAATTTGGTTATCTTTTCTCCTATTATTGGACATCTCAATTATTTAGATGTTTGGGATTGTTATGGAGCAAGCTGCTATGAACATCTGTGTATGGGTCTGTGTATAGACATATGTCTTTCCTTAACCTAGGCATAAAGATCTACGAGCAGAGTTGTTAGGTCATAGTGTAGCTGTAACCATTTAAGAAACTGCCAGTAACATTTCACACTCCCACCAGCAGTGTGTGGGAGTTCCAGTTTCTCTACAGCATCAATGCTTGGTGGTGTCAATCTTTTCCACTTTTGTCACTCTCCTGAGTATCTTGTGATTTTCATTTGTTGTGCTGATTGGCTATTATATATCTTCTTTGTGAAATATCTTTTGCCCACTTTCAAATTAGGACATTTGTCCTTTTGTTACTGGGTTGTAAGATTTCTTTACATATTTTGGGTACAAGTCCTTTGGTAGATATATGTGTTGTGAATTATTTTCTCCTGGTCTGTGGTTTTCAATGAAACTTGATTTTTTTTTAATACACAGTTTTATAGAACATGAGATAACACATATATTGTGTTATAAAAACCCATCCCCCATAAATGTCAACCATCATTGATAACTAGCATTATTATCATTCTAATACTATAGTTTTAATTATCAACAGCCAATTAATTGCAGGGCCTTTGCCTGGGAGTCTCATTGCATAGTCATTTGGAAAGTTGTTTTATCCCAGCTTCCTTCAAAGGCAATGTATCCAAGACACCCGGTCCCATCCTATATCACAGATGGCAACAGCAGGGGATACAGTGGCCATTGTTTCATTTGCTTCCATGTAAAATCTAAATGTCCTAGAGACATGGCAGGTCCAACTCCAAACACATAAAAAAGAATACAAAGGTGAATGCAAATTAGGGTCATAAGGCAATGTGTTTTGCCTCATGGAACATATGGAAATAGTTGCTACACATTGCACAAAACATCTGTTGAAATAAGGTGTACGATTTAAATATTTTGAGATGGACTATTCCTAAAACTCAGGATTGCCTGGTGGGAAAGCAGATGGGCATTTTAAATAGTCTTATACTAACTCATTATTTCTTCTGAAACACAAGCCTATTTGGAAATCCAAAGACAGTGTTTTGGAGATACACGGCCTTCACAAACATAATGTTGGCCACTTCTGAAAGGTTTGGTTGCTGTTGCTTAGATGTAGGTCGGGAGAAGGATTTATTTAATACCGTTAAAAGAGAGAATTTTCTAAAATTGAATCTTTACTAGAGTTTTAAGTATTAAAGATTAAATAATTATTTAAATATGTTAGAAATTTTTAAAAAGTATTTTCCTCCTAGTGGGCCTAGTAACACTATGTCAAGCTTAGTTGTGAAATAAGGTATTTTTACAAAAAATTCTTACAAAATAGAATTTTACATGAGTAATTTTTGATGTAATTGAAGATTTTCAAGACTTTTTCTTAGAAAAAAATTTTTTGTTAGATTATGTACTTTTCACCTATATTAGTATTATTTTAATGGTTCAGAATTTCTTCAGGCTATTGAGATACAAAACTGTTGCTCCAGATTCATAACTGTTTTGGACAACGGGGTATTTGCTGTGAATTTTCCTTGCTGTGGTGATTAAAAAAAAAATAGTGGCAGCTATTAATATGTCAAAAAAAAAAAATCTAGCAGAGCTTCCTACCCTCATGTAATTTTTGTTTTTAATCATCTGTGGACTGAGAAAGCAGTCAGAGCTTGTGAGAATTATGTATAAATTCAGAGCCTACTGGATGAGTGGAAGTGTGAGGAATTGCCACAGGAATAAAGGTCATGAATATCAACATCTATTTTGGTTCAAAAGATTTGGGCCTATTTTCTGGTTCTTGTCTATATTTTAAAGAGTATGGATTGTCAGATAAGTAGTGTGTACCTGTGTAACTCAAAGAGTTAAAAAGGCATTTTTTCCTCATTTCTGTTACTCCAGAGATGAGAAGTTGGAAGTTACTTGGGAGGCAGATTTCAGTGAAGTAGAAAGACAAACATTTTTAATTTCATGAAAAAGTATACTGAATTGAACATTATCCTGTGAGTCTGATCCCAGCTGCATGACTAACCAGTTATCATTGAAATCCTCTGGACAAAGTGTTCTCATCATCTCAGACCTATCCATAGGATTCTGGGATCACGGGGCTCCAATTCTAGGGGCTGCCATCACTCACTCACAGCTCATGCAGAGGTTTCTGGGAGAGAGGATTTCCACATCCTAGGCAGTTGGACTGAATGACCTCTGAGGTGTATTCCTAAGTTAAGGTGGAATCATTCTGTGACTCACTTCTAGAGGACATCACTTGCATCTGTCAAGGTGAATTTTGAATGCCCAGGGGTGATCATGGGTTAGCTGCTCTAGCCTTTGTTTTGCTCTTCCATTCCCACAAGACGTGAGTTGAGAACGCCATTCTCAGAAGTCACTGCTTTCTCTCTCCTTTCCTCAGACCCCAAATTTAAAGCTGTTAAAAGTTTATGAAAGGAACTGAGGGAAAAGGGGGTTACAAATTGTCCTATTAAGCTGGTTATGAATTCTCTTTATAGCAACAACTGAGTCACTGAGAAAGAAGTTAATTAAAGGACGCCTCCGTGGCTTGCTGTTTCAGGTAAAACAAAAACAAAAACAAAAAACCCTGTGATATGTGTTTACTGTGGGGAAGAGGTCCAATCTGTATATGGATTTGAAGCTAATTTATAATAGATAATGACTTTTATCACAAAATTAACCAACTTAGAAGAAAATGCTCTGGTGGACTTTATTCTCTTCTGCACCGAAAGCATTTAGCCAAACTAGAAGGGGGAACTCACATTAGTGAATGGCTAATAACATCTTTTAAAGAGGAAGCATTTTAGAATTTACTGTATCTGTTAGCAAAGGGCCAGTGTTTTAGTCTTAGGTACCTGTTGTCTGATAACTCTTGAATGCGTACTGTTGGATGGGCTGGGATGGTTCCTATCTCTTTTTTCTCCTATTTTTTTTAAGATTTTATTTATTTGAGAGAGGGAGAGAGAGAGCACGCGCACAAGCAGGGGGAGCAGCAGAGTGAGAGGGAGAAGCAGGCTCCCCACGGAGCAGGGAGCTTGACTCAGGGCTTGATCCTTGAGCTGAAGGCAGACACTTAACCAACTGAGCCACCCAGGTGCCCCTCCTATTTGAATTAAACTTTTACCTCCTTCCTGTCTGGATATCTCAATATATCCATGGTAGAGTTCAATGTATTTCTTTCCCTTATGATACTTGGTGAATTTCTCCTTTTTGTTCATAAATGAGGAACATAAGGAACAGTAAGGTTGGCACGGGGGAAGGGCCTGGAGAAGGGAAGAAAGAAGGGTGATGTCTGCATGTATCTGTTTCCAGAGCATAATGCAGGCACATCTGTTTAAGTAGAAAAAAAATTTTTCATGTGGGAGATTAAGCCAGAAAAAAAACCTAAAAAGCCCCCTACAATAAATTGAAGTGGAAAAACCTCCACATCTAAATATGCTTTAATCTTATCAGGAACACCAATACAATTTTCTATTATAACTGTGATAGGTATGTATCTACCTCTTGGACTAACGCCACAATTTGATTGCTATGAAATTTTCACAGGCAACATTTTCACTACACTGACATGTCTCCAGCAACCTCCTTTGGCCTCTGCCTAAAGATTTCAATGACAAAGCCATTGTATTTCCTGTCCCCGATCTTTGAATTTCATTCCTAGAACAAGTAAGGGGAAAAATGCAATGAAAGCTTTACAATTACAAACCTGTTCCCTTAAGTAGAATACTTGACAGAATTGGCCAATACTACCCTCCTCAGGTAGCATGATATCTTCTCTTAAATGGAATATGTTTTGTATCCTTGACTCTGTCATCATTCTGCCTTTGAACATGCTCCATCATTTTCTCATGACAGAGCTGTTTAGATGAGGAATTTCCTCACTGTGATCCCTCGTCCGGCACAGATGGAATTCAACAACCATTTCAAGATCAACTGGTAAGTTTAAGCTTTTTGAAACAATTTAAGTGCCAGTTGTGAATCACCACTATGTCAAAAGAGAAAGTGAAGTCCAGTATGTATTAGTAGTCTTAGTACTTTAAGCCAGACCACTTTTGAGAGATTATTAGATGAAACAATGGATACCTACTTTCTTTTTTTAACTTTTTTTTTCTTTTGAGAGAGAGAGCGTGCAAGCAGGGGACGGGGGGAGGGGAGGGTGGGCAGAGTGAGAGAGAGAATCCTAAGCAGACTCTATGCCCAACACAGGGCTCGATTTCATGACCCTGAGATCATGACCTGAGCTGAAATCAAGAGTTGGACGCTTAACCGATTGAGCCACCCAGGCATCCCTACCTAGTCTTTTTCTTTGTCACACACATGCATACAATGCTGATAGACCCTACGATATGGCAATATGTTAAATTATTTGACTGTGGTATCATGAAGAAGTATTGTCTAACTAAACTTGCCTCTCATCCATACCTTTTTCCTCAAGGCTTTTGTTTATATGACAGTGTCGATTATTGGGAATTGATATAATTCTGTTAAATTATTGAACTGTGATTTTTAATGAGAATTACACTTTACCCATAGGGTATAGCTTTTGATCAAAAGGTTGAAAGCTTTATTACTTTATTACTTGGAATCATTTATTTTCTTCTTGACTCTTCTTGATGCCAGTGATATTCTTTCTACCTTTGGAAATGAAGAGAATAGATGATGAAATATGTTATGTTACACCCCTTTAGATAGCTAACACTGTTTTATTTTCTGTTCAGAAGCAGTGTTGCCGTAAACGATATAGTGGTCAAGAGGCAAGAATATATCAGACGCTCCTGACCTTCAAACATACATGCTGGTATACACCTCTCCTGGGTAAGCATGGATAGCCCCCCTCTTACACCCTATCAGGCATGGCTGAGGGTAAGGTTCTTTTTGAAAGGGAAAATAATTAATCACAATTATATTTATACAGGAAAAGTTGTTGAATGTTTGGATATTTATCCCTGAATTCTGTCAGTCAACTGATGTTTGAGCACCTACTCTGTGCAAAGCACCATATTATGTATAATAGAGAATAAATCCTAAAATAGCTCACAGATTATCAGGGAGGTTAGAATGGGCTCAGAGAAGTCCAAGAAAGCTCTATAGAAGAAATGAGAGTTGAACCAGGCCTTGAAAGATGGGTTGCATTTGGAGTAGCAAAAAGCATGGAAAAAGTATTTTAACTGAGGAGGACAAAAAAAAAAAAAAAAAAAAAACATAAAAACAAAAAACAAAAAAAAACCAGAAGAATGCAAAAGCCTCAAGTGTTTGAAGAGGAATCAAAGCTGGACAAGTCATTTTGGAAACAAGAGGAGTTTGGTTGTGATACAGTAGAATCTAAGTTTGGAGCAGGTTGTGGGTCAAATGGTGGGCTATTACTCAGTGCCCGGCTAAGGAGAATGAGCTCTATTTTAGGAAGAAATGCTCATGGTAGTGACATCTCTCATCACAACCGAGATGTGGTTGAAAGCAAAAGTTAATGGTTGGTTCTGAAATGACAAAAGACATGGGATGGTTATCAAAATAAAGTTAAGAAGAAATAAATAGCAAGTAAACTGATCTGTGGATCATTTCAACTAGAGAAGGGAAGACTACTACCACTACTAATTGAATGGCCATTTTGTATCAAACAATAGCTTAGGGCTTTATAGAGATGATTTTACTCACACTAACCCAGTAATAATAACACAACTACAACCCGACAGTGCCTGCTGATGCCTGCTATATGCCAGGCACAGTTCTCTGCTCTTAGCATCACTACTACCTCATTTAATCCTCACCACATCCCTGCCAGGTAGATGCTAATGTAATTTTCATTTTCAAGATAAGGAAGAGAAGGAAACAGAGAAATATGGAGTTAGTAATTTCCCTAAGGTCGTGTGTCACTTCATATGTAAGTAAGCTGAGGCTCGGAGTGGTTTAGTTATGTGTCCAAGAGCACACAACTAGTATGTGGCAGAGCCAGGATTTGAGCTAAAAATTTCTGATTGACTCCAATGCCTGTGTTTTCTTCTATTAAACTCTGCTGCTTCCTATACTCAGAAAAACACATAGCAAGATGGCTTCCTCCAAAACACATGATCCGTTACCCTATTTCCTTTGTCTCTTTAACAGGTCCCCATCACAATGTCTAACCCTCTTCCCTTCAGGGTTTGGTAAAGCTGTTTCTGTCAAGGGCCAGACAGTAAGTCCTTCAGCCTCTGCAGGCTGTATGGTTTCTGCAGCAATTACTCAGTATCACACAAGTGGCCAAGTAATGAATGAATGGGTATGTCTTTGTTACCGTAAAACTTTATTTACAAAAACAAGCAGCTGGATGTATTTTACCCTCTGGCTGCAGATTGTTGACCCCTCTAGTTGTTTTTAGGCAAGGATTTTCTGCCCCCTCCCCACTCTGCTTAAAAAAAAAAAATGGCATTTTCACTTTCACAGGGTTAATAGAATTGAACTGACTTCTGCTTTTTCAGAAATGGTCCAACCTCTCAAAAGGGAAAAAATTTATATATGTATGATATATATTTTTATATATAATAAATAATATATAATTATATAATATATATGAGAAAAATATATAAGAATTTTTATATATTATATATATGAATAAATATAAATAAATATTTATTATATAGTTTAAACCAGGAACAAATTTCCGGTTTTATTCTTTTCTGTTCTGCAGATGCCTTGCGTCTAGAGAGTCTCACAGCAATTCCAAGCCTGGAACTCACACTTTCCTCAGGTGTAGCCAAACGAATCCAGGTTTCATGTGAAAGGCCCAACTATGGAAAAGTAGAGGATGGTGATTTGGATGTGACTAGAAGACGCAAGTAAGTTAAAAGAGCAAAATATACTTACCCTGTTCTTCATGGGTGGCCTATTCTTAGTGCCTGAACTTCTAATCAGTTAGACTTTTGTATCCTGAGACCATAACGTCTTTATGATGGAACTTCTGACTTTCTGAAAATTGGCAATTTTAAAACAAAGATACCTCTATAGTTTTCTTGAAGTGACTTTTCTTGTTCTTTGAATTCTCTAATGTCCATTCTAAAACGTAAAAGACAAATCAGGCTACCTGAATGTTTCCCAACTTTTAGGAATATACTATATACTGCTAAGTTAACTTACTCAGAGAGGTTTTGATCATATTCTATTCCTTCTTCCTCAAGGTTAATGAGCCTCTGCAAATCCCTGTCCCCACACCCGCCCTCTCCTGAAGTTCATCTGTGCTCACCTTTCTGAGTACACAGACTGACCTTCCTTAGGAAAAGTTTCAAAATGTCAGTGGAGTTTGTGAGCACTATCCACCCCAGTGAAATTCCCTTTCTGTATCAAGGGTGAGGAAGCAAGATTTTGAATTGCAAATTATTTATTTTCATTTTTGGCTAGATTCTCTATGGTTTGCAACCTCTCTCTGGTGGAGGTTGGCGCTCTTTTTCCTCATGTCTTACTAAAACCATGAACTTAATCAGAAATTTGGTTAACCTGGGATAAGGAAGGGAAACATTTGCTGTCTGCTGAAATTCTCGGTTTTTCTCTCTGTAGTAAGGAACTTTGCTTTCTATTGTCAGGTGCCCAGGCCCTAAAGTTGGCCCCCACCCAGGAACAGATCTTTCAGGTTGCATCAGGATGAATGATGACCTAAGGATGGAAGTGAGCATTTGACTATATTTCAACTTTATTTTAGTACTACTGTATCCTGGTCCTCTTCTCTGGGTGTATACATATTTTGAAGTATTATGAGCACTCTTATAGCAAGTATGGATCTTACACCACAAAACACAGATGCGTGAGAAATGTCAACCTTTGATGGCAGGAAATTAAAATTCAGTCATTTGGGGGCTTTCTACCCCTTCTGTAGTATAAGCTCAAGGGTATATAGCCAAAAGGAGATTTTGGTGAAGTATACTGAACATTTTGTTAAAGAGGCAGGCTGGTTTGGGACTTAAAATTCACTAATGACTCTAAGAAGTCTCAGGTCTCATTGTCTCTCTAAGAATTGAAGCCAAGCCTAGATAACCTTTGACATGCTGGTACTTTGTAAAAAGTCACAAAGTAGGGCAATGCCCAGAGAGTGTTCTTTGCTACAGTTAGGTGCTAATGAGACTTCTCTACCTAACAACAACAACAAAAAAGAGTAACACTGAATAACATGTCATTTAGACGAACTCCCCAGGTTATGGAGGTATGTATGAAGTGCCTCCCTCAGTCTACAACCAGAGCCTGAGCTCCATAATTTTCTCAATCAAATGAAGCAGACAGTTCTGTTTCAGGATATAATAATCCATCATTCTTCCTTTTTCTTTCATTGCTTAATTGAGGTATAGTTCATATATTAAACAATTGATTCAATTAAATGCTTTTAAATAAATTCACAGAATTGTACAACCATCACCAAAATTGATCTTAAAACATTTTGACCATCCTAAAAAGAAACCTCATGCCCATCAACAGTCTGTCCCTATTCCTCCCACCCCCAAACCCTCAGTCCTAGGCAATCACTAGTCTACTCTCTGTCTCTTATACATTTGCCTAGTCTGGATATCTCATATAAGTGGAATAATACAATATGTAACCTCTTGTGACTGGCTTCTTTCACTTAGTATAGTGTTTTCATGGTACACCCATGTTGTAGCGTATTATCCCCATACTTCATTCCTTTTTATGACTGAATAATATTCCAGTGTATGACTATATCACATTCTGTGTATCCACTCATCAGTTGATGGGCACTTGGGTCGTTTCCATTTTTTGGCTATGTGAATGATGTTACTATGAATGTTAGTGTATAAGATTTTGTATACACATATGAGTATTCTTTGGGGTATACACCTAGGAGTGGAATTGCTACATCATATGGTAACTCTAACATTTTGAGAACCTGCAAAACAGATTTTCAAAGTGATTACCCCATTTTACATTCCCACAAGTAATGTATGAGGATTCCAATTTCTCTACATCCTTGTCAACATTTGTCTGGGTGTTTTACTATTATTATTATAGCCATCTTAGCAGATGTGAAGTAATTTTGATGGTTTGGGTATGTATTTCTCTAGTGACAAATGATGTTGAACATCTTTTTGTGTACTTATTGGCCACTTGCGCAGCTTCCCTGGAGCTGTATCTACCCAGCTCCTTACCCATTTTAAAAAATGTGGTTCTTTTTACCACTGAGTTATATGAATTATTCTTATTATTCCTTTTAAGTGTGTGTATCTGACATTTTTCTGTTCCTTAATACGCATCCTATTGAGTAGCTAAGAAAAGGAAAGAAAAAGGAAATGAATCTATTTTGCTATTACTTAGCAGTTCTTGTAAAGTTTAATAAAGGAAGTTGGACTTGGAAGCTTACAGGATGTTTGGTTATTAGTAATTTCCCTTTTATCTGACACTGATTTCACCAACAAGGGGGAAGAAACAAATATCAGTTGTGTACCAGGTACTTTGTAGGAAAGCATTACCACATGCCACGTTATTAATCTTCTCTACAACTCTGAGTGGTAGGTATTCTCTGCTTTTGCAGATGAGACAACTGAAGTTCAGAGAGGTTAAATAACTTATCCAAGATCACTCAACTGGTAACTAGCAAACCTGGGATTCAAATTCAGGTTTGTCTAACTTCAAAGGAGAAGCTTTTCTCACAGACCCTCTTAGAACACTGATTGTAGACCTTTCAATCATAATAATTACTCATAATTGCCTTGAAAGTCGTTTTTTGGCTAAGAAATATGCTATCTAAAAGGATCTCCTAATCCACTATCATTAGGATATGTGGTAGATTTTGTCTGTGGTCTTGACACCACTGAGAAACAGGAGCTAACAGACCATAATAGAAACTCCTATCAAACATCCCTGGGGAAATGGACACACTCCCTGAAGTTTATCATGCTGTCTTCTGCACCGTTTCTTCTAGAGTCCCCAGGAGCAAGTCTGTCGGCTGCACTTGGTGGCTGATATCACCACTTCTCACCATCCCTTTCCAGGTTTCTGCTCCACTGAAGAATCTCTTCAGCCTGTTCACTGAACGATTCACTCTCTCATGCCTATTCCTTGAGTAGATCCTCACTTCCTACCCCTCAGACTCCCTACACCTATCTCTAAACAAATAGAAAAATCTCCTTAGGGGCGCCTGGGTGGCTCAGTCGTTAGGCGTCTGCCTTCGGCTCAGGTCATGTTCCCAGGGTCCTGGGATCAAGCCCCGCATCGGGCTCCCTGCTCCGCGGGAAGCCTGCTTCTCCCTCTCCCACTCCCCCTGCTTGTGTTCCCTCTCTCGCTGTCTCTCTCTGTCAAATAAATAAATAAAATCTTTAAAAAAAAAAAAAGAAAGAAAATTCTCCTTAGAAAACCATTTTCTAAGCATTCTCATTAATAAGTGCAGGGAATTGGAATAAAATATGAGATAAAAATTACAAAAAAACATAATCTGTATTTACCCCAGTGACCCATAAATTATAGTGCTTTAAGTCTTTGGCTTCAAACTGTAGGGTTTTTGTCACCCTTGAGAGCCTTTATAACAAGCAACTTGATTTGGTCTTCAAGCCCCTCTCTAATCTGGTCACAACCTACCTTTCCATCATTTCCCACTGCCTGCATGTCAGTGAAACCGAGTAGCATTTATCATTGGAATATAACCCCAAAGCCTGCTTATACTGTTCTCTCTGCCCAGAACACCATGCACTTCCCCATTTCTCAAATTCTGTTTGTTGAGGCCCATTTCAAAACCAGCTCTTCCATAAAACCTTTCTTGTGGTAGCAAGAAATGTTTACAGTCAACATTTCCTGTCCTTCTAGACTAGAGGTAGAAATCAAAATAATTAGAAGTTGAGAGGTGAGGTTTTTCCCTGTTTCTACCTCTGTGTAACTATGGAAAAGTCATGTCTTTCAGGCCTGTTTCCTCATTTCTCAACTGTCCCACTCAGGAAAAAATGAGTTCACTCCCTTCTTTTAGACCCCAGGAACTCTTTGTCCTCCTTGTTGTCACCTGTATGCTCTGGTTGCATTGTAATTCTTTGTTGTCTTATATTTATTTCTGTAGTAGATCAGAAACTTGGTGGAGAGTGACTTTGACCATTAACCAATATGCATCTAGCACTCTGCACAAATTTGGTGTATGGTAGCTGCCTATTAATACTCATTAAATGCCTTTTTACTTATTCTTGTACTCCCTACAGGGCCTATTTAAAACATCAAGACTGAGCACTCAGTGAAATTGTTGAGTTGACAACCTTGCTCTATTGCTTTCTGCCTCTTTTCTTTGGACTGGTATTCCTGAGAACTTGGGATTTATTTTTTTATTCATCTCCCATATTCATAGAAGAAGCTGCATTCTAGCATCCTTTTCAGAAAGCACAGGGTGAGGTAAAAGTGAACATCTGTATTCTTAGGATCTTTCTGAGTGAGCAAAGGACTCTAATAAGATTATTGTCTCAAGAAGAACATCTCATAATAAAATAATTTGGGGCCCAGTTTGGGACATTCTTGGGGAAAACAGTTCCTTTATTGACCCGGAAAATTCATTTATTTGGAATATTGTAGTGTAGAGAGAAAAGAAGAATATAAATTATTTCTAAACCTTGTCTTTTAGAGATTCAGACTGAGATATTTATGGAAGAAGTGTTTATGATATCTGGGATTTACATCAAAACAATGCAGGGGTGTTTTTAGTGGGTGACGGAATAGATTGGCCACAGGTTGGTAATAGCTGAATCTGCAGAATGGGTACACAAAGGTTACTTATTCTATTCTGTTACTTTTGTATTTATTTAAAAATCTTTCCAGTAATGACTTAGAATTTTTAGCCACTTAGCATAGACTTTGGAATCAAGCAGGCCTGAATTTAAGACTGGCTCTGTTACTTGCTAGCGGTATATACTTGGACAAGCCTAACCTCTCTGACTTTGCCTGTGTCCCCCCGTGAAACAGATACAACTTTTCAGGGTTCTTTTGAGGTTTCAAATACACAGTACATACATGTATGCACATACATATCTACATATCTGCAATGGCTAAGTTCTAGTCTAATCAATCCATGAAGACAAACCAAGTTGGTCATATTTAGAGAAAAGACAAATCTTAATTCTGTTTCACCACTTGCTGCTGAATAAGAAGACCTTTCATCTCCATGGGGTCCCTTCTCAACATTTCCAAGAATCTCTAGGGGCGTATACTGCTATCTCCTAATGTCCTTCAGGCCCCACCAACTAGTGGGTCCCAGGAAAGGACACCTAACCTCCCCAGAGATTGTGGGGGAAAAGAAGCTGGTTTCACCACTCATATCTTTGCAGTCGTCTTTGTTCATGATCCCTGCTGCCCACAGGCCCTCCATGCTGCCCTCCTTGGAGCTCTGTGTCTGATCACCTAGTGATCTTCTCTCCCTGGGTGGTAGAGAGATGACTCTCCCTTCTTGTCTCAGGACTTCAGTGTGAGGTCCTACTGTGGTTGGGTGGACTGCTTGTGATGGGATTGTTAAAATTACCCTCTCAGTTAGTTTCAAGGCACATAAATAATCCAGCAGGCTGGGAGGCACAGTAGTCCCTAAGTAGCCACCTCCCACTGCCTCCACCACTGAGGCTCCCTTCAGGAGCTAGGCCTGGCGGTCCATTTAGCCCAACTTCCTCAACTCTTCCTCACTCTTGGCAGTTTCTCTCCAGGGCCCACCTGTCTCTCCTGACAATCTGTCTTCTTCTCCTTAGTCACTGCTCCCACCATGGAGTCTGAACAGCAGCCCAAGGGCCAAACTGGACATGTGCTTAGGTGCCTGGGTGTGTCCCCAAATACTCCAAGAATTAAGGAGCTTCGTGAAAATTCTATGACCATGAAACTGATTCTTCTCTCTACCTATTTCAGTCTCAGATCAGACCCCACCAAGACACTTTATAGTGTATGCAAAGTTCCTGATTCTTAGTAAACACTCCGAAAATAGCAGCTGTGACTGTCCCCCAGAATCAGAATGATCAGCAGGTGAAGCTCAGAAGATACCTTGTTATGAGCATTATGTAGTGTGTAGACTTGTCAAATCCCTGTCTTTTATACCTGAAACCAATATAACATTGCATGTCAACTACACATCAATTAAAAAAAAAAAGGGGGGGGTGCCTGGGTGGCTCAGTTGGTTGGGTGTCCAACTCTTGACCTCAGCTCGGGTCTTAATCTCAGGGTGTTGAGTTCAAGCCCCATGTTGGGCTCCACACTGGGCATGGTGCCTACTTAAAAAAGAAGAAAGATACCTTGTTACAGTCAGACGATATGAAAATGAATTTCTCTGTTTTTACTTTGGCTGTTGAAAAAAAAAATTAAGTGTATTGCCATCCCTTTGAGCTGTCCTTCATGTTATTACATGTTTTTGTCTAAGATACACTATCACTAAGAGGAGGTGATTTATGAGACAAAGGACAGAATCAATTTTGAAATATCTCAGATTTTCTGGCCATTGTCTGTCCTGTTCTCTCAGGCTGTGTGTGGTGTAGCATTAATAACCTTGGAGAATAAATAACATTGACAGTTGCAAAATTGGGACATGCAGAAGTTGACTGATAACTGCACTATAGATGAACCTCAGAGTGGTGGGTGTGTCCTGTAGATCTGAGGGTGTGGTGTCCTTTTAGTTACAAATTAAAAAAAAAAAAAAACTTGTGAGGAAATTTACTAAAAAAAAAAAAAAAGTAGTTGTGATCTTTTGGCATTCAATTTTACATTCTTTCTCTTTTTAGAACATGGAAACCGGCACTGAGTCAAGGGCATTTTTTTTTTTAAGTTAGAATGAAATAAGACCATATGGACTTTTTTCAGTTTTTTTTCTCAGAAAATCTTATTAATTTATTTGAGTAGCACCAATCATCTACAATAGGTCTGTTAGCAAAAATTAGAATGTAGCATAGTGGAAGGGTTTCTGCTCATAAAATCTACAGATGAAGAAACATTTCATCTAAAAGAGCAAAAATAAAGTGACCCTGGGAAATTATCTAAGCCAATAATTACCCTTACTAATATCTTAAAAGCTATATCTTATTATTCTTTAACTTTTTCTACCTAAATATTGAAATAACAGTGGTGTGCATGTGTGTGAGCGCGTGCATGCACATGCGCATGTGTGGCGTGTTTGCTAACCCAGCTGATGGGAGAATATGTCTCATTTTGTTCCATGAGTACCTTGGCAACCCTACCCTACAGTAGACGCTATCAAAAACAAATGGGCTGGACCACAGATTTTCATGTAAATGTTATGCAGGTTGATATTTGAATGGCTTGGACAGGAAGAATATTCTTCCTGCTCTGTGCTATCGACATGTGTTAGACTCATTGACTTGAGCCAATCTTCTACAGGTAAGTAAGTCTGTCATCTGAACTCTCTTTTTCTTGCTTTTAGTCAATTTCTTAACTTTGCTTCATTTTAAAATATAACCAGCAGGTTATCTTTTTCATGATCTGCCCAGGTCTTTATAATTGTGTGGGGGTTAGGCTTTCTTATGGGTCTAGGATGCTGGTTTGAATAGTTGGGCTTTTGATGCTGGGAAAAAAAAGAACACAATTGTGGAAAATTTTTGCAAAAAAAACTCCCACCCCCACTCCATATGCACAGACACCCTGAGGAGTTATATTTAAAATTTCATTAACTATAGTTCTAAATTTGAAAAAAGAAAACTTCTTTTGTCTAGCTATATTTGTAACAAGGGAAAAATGCTGTTAGGTCAAATTTGTGAAAATCTGGGATTGAGATATGTTGTATATTGGGGTGTTTTCTGATCAGTGGGATTTATAAAGACTAATGAATTGGAAGTAATATCCAATTGCTTACCTCGCAACTGTTCCAGAACAATATAGTAATGTATGACTACTAAATATATGACATTTCTCCAACATTACAGAATTATTACTTATTTAATCCATAAATATTTTATATTTATCAGAAAGCTTCTCACTAAAATGTTTCACATATAAGGTATTGAACAGAAGGGCTTATACAGAACATTACAGCAAATGAGACTAATTTGTAATATAATGGAGGTAAACTGTATTTCTGCCGTATTATTTTGACTTTAAATGAGACTTTTTTAAAAAAAGTCCTTTTCAGACAAAATTAGCTTTTTAGTTAGTGCAATATTATTATATATGTATTAGTTATAGTACAGTAATAAGTGTCATTTCAAGCCATATATAATCAAAATTTTATATGTTATGGAGTCTTAAGTGGGCCTGATTTTTAAATTACTATTAAGGAATGAATCCTTGTTGACTTTTATGAAGTATGATACTTGATGAAACTGAAGGATATTTAATATTTTCCTTTTTTATAGCTTCATTTCTTACATATATATTGGAATATAGTTAAGCATATAATTACTAATGCATTCTATTAAATCTTTTAATGATAGGGCTATCATCATTTACCTGTAAGTTATAAGTTACAATTTCTCTTCAAAATGTAATTCAAATATTACCCCACTCTGTTTTGTGCATATTTCTTTCCTCTGTGGAATGCTGCCTATAATTTTTTATTTGTTTTATATATTTGTCTTCCTGATTGGCCTACAAACTCCTCTGGGACAAGGACTGTAGTTTTGTGTGTCTCCAGCTTCTGTCACTGCTCCTGGGACAAAGTGGGCCTTTGATGAAAGTTGTTGAATTAAATCAAGCTGATGTCATGACGGGCTTCAAGCACACATGGTCTGACCCAAAGGCATTTAAAGCAGAGACAAAATAAAACAGAGAAGATTGCCTGACATTGATATGTAGGAAGATTAGGTATAAATTCTTGCTTTGCAAGTTTGTGAATTCTTCTAAACATTTGAGATGAACATTTTAAACGTTTACGTTTAAATCATCTACCAGTGTGTAAGACAATAATTGGGAAGTCTGTGCCTTACCAACAGCCTGGGTTAGGGTATCTCAGAGACAGTTCTGTTTACAGTGGAGAGGACACTGTATTTAGTTCGAATTGGGTTTGAAGGCTGGCACCACTATTCAGAATACTCCCGGGATATTAGTTTATTCACTGGCTTTACTTTCTTTACCTGAAATAAGTAAATATTTTCTTGCTAAAACCCACTTCCTAAAGTTGTTGAGAGAATTAAATGGGATGATATATAAAAGGGCTTCTGTACATTTTAAGTGCTGTCATTATATTGTATAACTATGTATTCTGCCAACTGTTACTAAACCCATACCTTTCTGTGACGATAGTCAGTATTGTCTGGGGTAGATGCTAAATACTGTGTGTGATATACAATGTCCCTCCATTGAAACCTTTTGTTGGGCTGTGGCTGTTAATAAGTTCTCTCCTTGATTATAGAACACGTAAATGTCTTCATCTTTTCATTGTTTGTGCAGGTTTTTGATATGTTCAATTGGTTTCGGTTTTCAATATTAAATTTAATTCCTATGTAAACCAAATACTAATGAAAATATATGTATTAGAAAAACATATTATTAAAGAGTAACCCATGTTCCCACTGTATTATTTGAGAGCAAGTGAGATAATCAACCCTAATGTCCTAAAGTTCCCCCTAAATTAGGAACGTCTGATCAAGATTAAGAAGTTCAAATAAAACTTTCAAACACTTGCCCTGGCAGGCCAGGACCACAATTTTGTTAAGGTCTGTTTGAGCACCAAGCAATAGGTGCTGATGTAGATATAATCCCTCAGATCTTTGAGAATGGGATTAAGTTTAAAAGCTATTATTTGTCTAGCTAGACAATTGAAAACCATTTTTAAATCACCAGGTCAAAAGTTTTAGGTTGAATAATATTTCCATAAATAGAAATGTGTTATGCCCACATAGAATGTTCTATGTGTTTAAAGACAACTTGACTTAAGTTCATGAAAGAAACTCTATCTGCCCTTTAAGTTTAGAATTTGTTTTGCCCAAGAATTTATTAGGTATTCTTCAAATATTGGACTCGCAAGTATATTTACAATTGGAGTTTTTTGCAAGTACAACTTGGAGAAAGTATGTTTATCACTCTGCCCTATAGCATCCCAGGCCCGTACCCTCTTTTCTAAAAGAGCAAAGTAAATATGGGTTCATTTAAAATTGTATGAAAATGTTTGCTTAAAACAACCTCTCTGGAAGGGAAAATGTCAAATTGTTGAACTTGTTTTTCCTTTTTTTTTTTTTCTTTAGGAGAATGGTGTTGACCGCTTGTATTCTGAGACCCTGCCACAGTCCAGGTTTGCTTGCTTGTTTGTGTATACGAATTTGAATGTATATTTGGTTAATTTTTAAGGAACTCTTTGGACCTGACACTCCAAAATATTTCCTCTACTCTCTTGACAGGGAGTGTTCCACACTGTCATCTCCTGGACACACTTTGTCCACAGAGAGTACTGTAACTTCAAGTGGTGAGTGAACTTGGAAAATATATAAAAATAGAGGATTGGTATTATAACTACAAGCTTGGTTTCTGTGGCCTGCTGAGGTGAGTGCAAATGAAAACGACATAGGCAAATAATTTTTTTTGCATAGTGTTCATGCTGTTAGTTTCTTCCTGTTGATAGATTCTGGGTCAGAAATTTTGAATATGGCTTCTGGTGACCTGGACTGTAAATCACTCTGTGAGAAAGAGGGAGATACAATTTCAGCTTCTGCTATGATAAAGATCACAGGTAAGCTATTGAAGTATTCAAATATAGTTTCCATTCCAAAGCAGCAAGCAAACCTGTAAGCTACTGGAGCAACTATCCTCATAGTTCAGTAATATTATTTTATTAAAAAGAGCTTGAAGATACAGTCTGGGGAAAAAAAGTCCAAGAGGTAATCATGGCCTTCATATATGATAATGTTGCCATTTTTTCCCCAGTTCTATAGAAAGAACAAAAATTACAATATATTTTAATAGGGCTTAAATATTTCCTAGTGGCAAAGATTGACTGAATACAACTGGGTCTCAACTGTGGCATAGATGTAGAATCACCTGCTTAGGAAATTCTCAGAATCTTGGGGTGCCTGAATGGCTCAGTGGGTTAAGTATCTGGCTCTTGCTTTTGTCTCAGGAAATGATCTCAGGGTTGTGAGTTCAAGCCCTGCATCAGCTTCTGCCCTGAGCGTGGAGCCTGCTGGAGATTCTCTCACTCCTTTCCCCCAACTCCCTCCGCCATTCTGCCCTTCCGCTTGTGCCCATGCGCATGCTTTCTCTTAAAAAAATAATTCTCAGAATCCTAATTAGGATCTGTTTGGTTAAAAGGATGGACCAATTCGTGATGGTCCACTCAGGAGGCAAAAGAATGAACAGGTAATATGTTACATCTTTTTTTGCTACTTGAGTCTGAAAACAAGGTAGTTATTCTCAACCATTCCCAGTGAGACATCCCTACAGCTGACACTCACGGGAAGCACATAGGCTCCCATTCCCACCAAAAAAAAAAAAAAAAAAAAAACAAGGAAAATTAAAAAAAAAAAAAAAAAAGGACAGTTAAGTTGAGATATAGATGCTAAACTAAAGGAGTTGTAAAATTGTAGAAATGGAATCCATTCTTTATTTTAACGGAAGAATATCTTCATACTTTACCTCAGACTGAATAAGAGAAATTTTAATTAGAACTACACCAAGATACCATTTTTCACCAGTCGTGTAGACACAGATGCAAAACTTTGATTACACTCTGTTGGTTAGCTTGTAGGAGAAAAAAAGAAATCTCATACATTTCTGTAGGGAATGTAAATTATTATGATTAATATGGAGGGAAATTTGCCAATATTCACCAAAATGTTAAATATACATATCCTGTGATAAAACAGTTTAGTTTCTGGGAATTTATCCTATAGATCTAAGTACTCACATGACTTGTAGAAGTTTCTTTACTACAGTATTTTCTATAATAACAAAATATTGAAGACAAGTTAATTATCAAAAGAAGCCTAGATAATATGTATTGGCATCTCCATGTAATGGAATACTAATATACATCCATAAAATGTATATAAGGAAACTTTCTTAGAAAGATATCAAAGAATTATTGTCTCTTAAAAAAACCCAAATAAAAACATTATGTATTGCATATAAAATTTTGTGGGAAAATAAAAAGGATAGGAAGAAGTTTTTATGTATGCATAATGGATCTCTGGAAGGCTAGACAAAAATTAAATAACATTGTCTGTGGGGAGGAAAAGTAAATTTCTTATAGGCATGTATGGGAGAGAAAATTTTTACCAAAAAATATTTTACACTTTAAAATTTATGGGCCATATGAATCTATTATCTATCTTAAAAGTTAACAAAAAAATTAAAATTTTCATTGGGAAAAGACGTTTTATCTCTGAAGAAAGTGGTTACCATTTTGTTATTTCCATATAAATTTTAAAAACATAATACATTATTTTTTCTTAAAAAGAAACAAAACCTATTTATAGCTGCTGACCTTTGTGCCTGCACTGAACTAAATTCAAGACAATGGACCATGTAAAGAGGAAAATCATTATCAAGTACATTACGGTACAAATAAAGTACACAAAAATAAAGGGAAATTACCAAGAGGAATGGCATAAATTAAAAGTACCTTTGTTTCTTAGTTTGATGACTTTTTTTTAGAAAGATACCATGTTTTGAAAGGATTTTTTTCTTGGTTATCAGTCTTACAACTGTAATTAAAAAAAACCTGTTTGTCAAGCTGATTGTTCATTCTTCCTTCATCCTGTTTCTGTAAGTTTAGTAGTAATGTGTTTGATTTAAAAAAAAGCAGCAGCCTTAGAAAAGATTTTAAAACTATTACTTGAAGGCCATTTATACAGATACTCATTTCTATTAGGAAATCTTATATGGCTAGCTTCCTTGGGAGCCTTAGCTGCTCTAGTCCTGATTTTTAATCAATGGGCACATTTAAAGTTTTTTGACATATAATTTGACTCACGTGTTAAGGTCTTTGACATTTACTAGTCTGCTCATATTGCCACCCTCACTATTTCTTCCTTTCTTACTTGTTACTGCTCAGGCAACTATTTAGTGTGTTCCCTTTTTCTCATAGGCCAAAGTCCAGCTCCTGAGACTATCGCACTCCAAGGCTCTATGAGTGAGGACAAAACCATGTTAAATCTGGTAAGGAAATATACATATGTTAACAGTAAAGGTAATGATATAGTACAATGGTATAACTGTCCCTTTAGGTTTGCAAAATACTCTTAAAAGCACTGTCTCATCCTCTCAAAATATTATGAAGTTAATAGAATTTAATTACTCCAATGTCTTATAGATGAGGAAGTAGGTGCCAAAGAGTCCTTGTGACTTGTTCAAAGTCACACAATAGAGTCAGAGCTAGGACCTCCTGACTCCACATTGTTTTTTTGTTCACTCATTCATTCATATTCATCATTTTTTTACTGGAAACAAGCTCAGTATCTATCAATAGAGGACTTTTAAGTAAACAAATGTATTAATAAATAAGGTTAAATAAAACAGTAATATTCACCTTAAAGATATGTTCTAATTAAGAGAACATGTTCTAATTAAGGGAAGAAACATACAGTTACTCAGTAATATATAATTACTCAGTGTGGTTAGGGATATAAAAGAAAAATGTTTGGGTTAAGAGGCCAGACAAGTGTCCTGGAGGAGGTACTTTGTGAATGGTATCAAATGCTGTCCAGGTACCTGGAACACTGCTATAAAACATTATTTAAATGTTTATAGAAAAAGTTAAGTTCCTTTCCCTAAAGAGAAGGTTCATTGTCACTGGTATGAATTTATAATTATTGAGGAGTAACTTGTAGACTATGGATCCCATTCCATGTTTTTTCAAGGGTCTTGTTTATGTATTAGTCCCCCTCTGTTAAAAGAGATGATGATGATGATGATGATTAGCAGTGTGTGTGTGTGTGTGTATGTGTATGTGTATTGTTTTCCCCTCTGTATATGAATATTACTTTAGTTAGGCCCATTTGGTTTTAAGAAACAGAGACTCAGGAAAGCTAACTCAAGTTAAGAGATGGTTGTGGCATAGATATATTTGAGGCAATAGGGTAGATAAAAATTTTATAGTATTCTAGTCTGAGCGGAGTGGAATGATTGGGTATATGATTTGGAATCGTCCTTTGTAGTGTAAAGTACATATAGAGTGTAGTGTTGGCTAACAAGCATGTTGAAAGTGGTTGCTCCTTATAAAAAATAGAGGAATATTTGAGTCCTCTAACCTTTCACGGTAGTCTTCCGAGAAAAAATTTTTCTCATCTCAAAACAAGAAATAAACTTAAAAATAATTTGTTAGAAAACATAGTAATGGAGATGGAGTACTGGTTAGGATACTGGGTAACAATTCAGGCAAGAGATGAAGATAGTATGAATTTAGTGTGGATGGAGAAGAGAAGAGTAATTTGGGAGAGATTTAAGGGACAGAATTTATAGTACATGGTGACTGATAACCAGGATGGGGGTTGGGGATGCATGGGAAAACGTAAAAACTTAGGTTTATAGCTTATCCTACAGAATGAATAGACTATTATGAGAATAGGGAGGAAGTAAGAAGAATTTGGGGGTAAAACAAGATTAAGTCAAGTTTCAGGTTGATATGAGACATCAGTACTCTGAAAGATTACATACATAGCTGCATACCTATATTCATAAACTCATTCCTAGGACTTTTAGGAGCAGACACACATTTGTGAGCTATCAGCAAAAAACCAAGTATGTGAATAAGATTCCCCAAGGACTCTGGCAGGCAGGAAGAGAGCACTGAGAATAACGGACTCTTGTTGATTCCATTATCTAACAAAAGAAGGCAATGGCAGAGGAAACTCAGAAGGAGCTACTATAGCAATGGGAGGACATCAGGAGATGAAAACCAAGGAGAGAAAAATCTTCAAGGAAAAGAGGATTATAGATCATTTTAGATGCTACAGTGAAGCCAAATAAGATAAAGACTGGAATTTTTCCATTGAATTTGGCAATAGAGAGTTCACTGATAACTGGGGAGGGAGGTTTTCTTGGAGTATTAGGTACAGAGACAGAAGAGAGCTGAAAAACTGGAAGCAGCAATTATGGACAATTCTCCCCAGAAGAAGCATGACCATAAAGGATAGGATTAGAAGAAGGTGCCGTATCTAGAAGAGATCATGGGGTTGAGGGAGGATTCAGAAAACTTAAGAATATTTAAATGTTTTATAAGAATGATCCAGTGCTTTACCTGTATTATTGCATTTGTAACATTTTATCAAAATCTTAGCTTCAGTTCTCTAAAAATTACATGACATTTTATCAATGGCTCTACCTAGGAAATTTGTCTTAGACTTTATTTTTCAGGGAAAATTTCCAAGAATGTTGAATAATTATCACCATAAAATTTTATACCTATTGCTTTCTCATTAGATTTTTCTCAGGCAGTATAGTACAACCCTTTTACCATTAGTAATTCTTGTTGTATAGATGTATTTGTAAGATAGTTGGTCAGTGACCTTAAAATGTATTTATATGGAGTAAAAGCCTCACATAACATAGTCCTACCTGCAATTTTTGCCACAAGTTCCCCAAAGATCCCATCTAGACAGCTACATGTGATATCCTAGATCACCCCTACCTCTTTATCTATCCAGTCCTCCCACTCCATCAAGCTCCAGTATGTTCCTTGTCTGTAAAGACTTTCCATGCTTCTCAAGCCATGGTGTCTCTCCCCTCCCTTTGTAGAGCACTTATTTATTGACATGTCATTTATTTGGCAATCAATCCTAGTTTGCCTTATGGTAACTTGTATCACATTTATAGCTGTTCATATGTTTCTGTCTTTTGTACCTCAACTAGATTGGAAACCCCCTTAGAGCCAATCCTGTTTTCTTTTTAACCGCTAGTTCAGTTCTTTGAATACCACAGTGTTTTTGATAGAGTAGGTTAGGAGAGGACAGGAAGTTGGGAAATGATTGGTTATGAAGGATTTCCACTCTATGTACAGCAATAAAATCTCTTTATGATTTTAGGAAGCAAAAGAAGAACCAGAAACAATAGATGAGCATAGAAAAGAATGTGCTGCAGGAGGTAAGGAATGTTCTCTTCCAACTCCCGTGTGAACTTTTGTTCCTGCTTATATTTTTATGGGTGAAATCTTTCTGAGTAAAGATATGGTACCTATAATTATGCATCTTTAGCTAAAATCAGCCAATAAAACTGATTCTTGATTCAATTTGTATCATTTTTGAAAAGCCACATTTATGTTGCATTAACTATTAAGCCCCAAAGGACTTGTAATAACTACTGCGTTATTGTGAACAAAGAACCATGCCAATGTTGGTAGTAAATTCAAGCTCTACTTTGAGATCTTTTTTTATTATCCTGTCCAAAAGTAAATAAGATAGTATTTAAAGAATAAGTGCTAGTATACTTCCCTCCCCATTTCACCTCCAGTAGGATGGAGTAATGGATAGAGTTGAGACTTTGAAGTCACACAGACTATATTGGGTGACTCTCTGACTAGCTTTGACTTCAGAAGTTTATTTAACCTGAGTGTCAACTTCCTCATCTGCAAAATGGAAATGAGTTAAAAAAATTAACCTTTATTGAGAATATATCATATGCTAAATTCTAGACTAGGTTTTTTTTTTTAAGATTTTATTTATTCATTTGACACACAGAGGGAACACAAGCAGGGGGAGTGGGAGAGGGAGAAGTAGGCTCCCCGCTGAGCAGCGAGCCCGATGTGGGGCTCGATCCCAGGACCCTGGGATCATGACCAGAGCTGAAGGCAGACACTTAACTGACTGAGCCACCCAGGAGCTCTGAAGCAAATGCTATTATTAACTGGCTATTATTTCAGACATACTTCAATGAAATGCCTTTGTGTAGTGGAAAGAGGGCATTTGATCAAATGTGCCTTCAGCTGGGAACCTTTGTAACCCAATACTATTTTATTGTCTTTTAATAGACACTGCTCTTTCCTCTCGTCCTGTAACCACTGTGAAATCCGTTAACTTTAGACAAAGTGACAAGTAAGTTCTTCTTCACATGGCATGCTCACAGTTCTTGCTCTTCTGCTGAATTATGTTGGAATAATTTTTTTTTTGTCTTATCCTACAGCACTTCTGCTAATGAGAAGGAGGTGGAGGTGAGTTTTTTCCCTTTAAGTTAAAAAAAAGTGTTTCTGATTCCCTTGTCTATCATCAGTTCATACTTTTATACAAGCTGTGGGTATGTTTGGTGTCTGGCTGGCTTGGCAGCGACTAAGCACAGGTAAAGCCGATGCATGCCAGCATTATGTTGCTGGGAGGAAAAAGAAATGGCTCAGCGTAATCTGGTATTAAACTGAAATATTTCACTACAACCAATTTTCTCCCCCTCACCCGCACATTATTTTGACAACAGGCTGAATTTCTCAGATTATCTTTGGGATTTAAGTGTGACTGGTTCACCTTGGAGAAAAGAGTGAAGCTTGAAGAAAGATCACGAGACTTGGCAGAAGAAAATTTGAAGAAAGAAATCACTAACTGTTTAAAGCTGTTAGAGGTGAGAATCCTAACAGTTGGGAACTACACATTTGATGATCATATTGTTAATAATGTTTTCAAGATTAGATACAAGTTTACTTGTGTGACTAAAACCAACACCAGGTACCAAGCCCTGCCTGACTCAAATGTAAATTAATAGGAAGTAAGAATTCAGGATCAGGCTAAAATAAAAGATTCACTAATAAAACAAATGCCTTTTGAAGTCATTGTGAGTTACCTGCCTTCTCTGGACATTCAAATAGGTTTCAGGCAGAAGAGTCATCATGCAGGAAACTGAGCAATAGGAAAGAATATCAATTCTCTTCAAAGAAGAGAATCAAAAGTCTATTTCCATTTGATTAACTGAAAAAAGAGAATGGTGATTGATTTTAGTCTTCTCAGGTGATGGACAAGCCCTCTCTAGGTACATAGGTAACAACTACTGTTTTTCCATTTTGTGAAATCTCCATATAAATATAGAGATGGGTTGGAAAGTTAAGAGGGTTATTTTTGGAAAAAAAAAACTTGAGAAACCATATTCTTTTTTTTATTGTCGTAAAAAACACATAACATCAAATTTACCATATTAACCATCTTAAGTGTACAGTTCAGTAGTGTTAAGTATGTTCACATTGTTGTAAAACAGATCTCTGGGACTTTTCCATCTTGCATATTGAAACTCTGTACCCATTAAACAAGCCCCCTTTTCTCCTCCTCTCAGCCCCTGGTCACCATTTTACTTTCTATTTCTATGAATCAGACTACTTCAGATACCTCATATAAGTAAAATCATACAGCATTTGTCTGCATTGAGCAATCTCACGATCCTGAGATCACGACCTAAGCCGAAACCAATAGTCAGATGCTTAACTGACTGTGCCACCTACGAATCCCTACTTTTCCTTTTTTAAATGACATACAAAATTTATGGTGTTTTAGACTTGGGCAAGTCCTAGAAATTTGCTCATGGTCACACAGCTAATAAGCAGTGGCTTGTTTGCTTCCAAAACTGCTGTCCTCTTAATTCTGTCTCTACCCTAGTGGGATGGATGGTTCTCCATCAGGAAGGCCATCATCGTGGATCAAAGGCACAGGTTTCAAAGAAATATTCATAAGGCTGTGAAGGCATACCCATCTAGCCAGCTCAGTAATGCTTTGTCATCAATGGAAGAGCAGGTAGCATAGTCAGAGCCATATCTAAATCTAGTATGTTTTCACTACTTTTATTAAAAGTTCAAACTGGGGCGCCTGGGTGGCTTAGTCAGTTGAGCATCTGCCTGTGGCTCAGGTCATGATCTCAGGGTCCTGGGATCAAGCCTCACGTCGGGCTCTCAGCTCAGCTGGTAGTCTGCTTCTCCCTCTCACTCTCCCTCTGTGCTCTCTCTCTCTCTCAAATAAATAAAATCTTAACTCTCTCTCTCTCTCTGCCCCTCATATAATACATTCAACTCATTCATAAGCATAATTTCTTTACCATTAAGTATATCCCATTCTCTTAATTGTGGAAAATGATATAAATGTGTATAAAGAAATGGCAAATTCGGGAAGTAAGGAAGGAAGAGATTGAGATTAGATATAAAAGGTTCTATGAATATTCGCATAGGTCTGATAGCCAACAAAGATATTAATATTTCATTATCATTCATTATTGGTCTTTGTTGCTGCTTTTCACTTTATGCCAAGATAATTGAGATGTGACTGTCATCTGTATTTACAACATAGTCATTGTTAGAATCACTTGCTGAATACTTGGGTTGGATATATTTTAATACTTTGCTTTCTGTGCAGTCTTTAACACCACTTTGTGAGGATGACAACCATGCCCAGGAAATTGTTAGGAAGCTGGAGAAGAATATAACATTTCTTAGTCAGTGCACTGCACGAGTGGCCAGTAGGGCTGAGATGCTGGGAGCCATTAATCAGGTAATCTGTCTCCATTTCTTTAGCTAAATGAAATTACTAAAAGGATTTGTTTTCCCTGAGATTATGGATTACATTTCTAAGAAAAAGTTTTAAAAAAATACCTCTGTGTTATATAAGACGTACGAAAAAAATATAGAGAAAATGGAATATGCAAATAAAAATGTAAAAAAAAAAACCCTCTTAATAGCATTAGCCAGTGACAATCATCCAAATAATCTCTTCCAAATGTCAGTTTCATATTTTCTCCTTTCTCTTCAAACCATCATCATGTCCTTTCCCATCTTCTCTGTCAAATAATGACTGCTTCCTGCCTCAGTGAGAACATTGAGTCATTCAGAAGGGAACTGCCACAAGTTCCAAACCTAGTAACATCTGAACCCTCATACTTTTCCTTCCTTCCCAGTATAAAATATGAGTTGTCTCTAATCCTATCTAAGGCTAACCATCTCCCCTGCATACCAGAACCCATTCCTCCTAATTTACTTAGAATCTTGCACTCAGATTCTCCCTACTTTCCTCCATCTTGAATCTTCCCTGCTACATTAAATCATTCTCATGAGTACACAAATATGTTGTTTTTAAGATGGGAAAAATAACATAAACACAAGCAAAATAATCTTTGACCCTTTCTCCTCTTTCTCTGCTCTCATTTATAGCAAATATCCTCACAGAATTGTACTCACTGTCTCCAATTTCTCTCCTCCCATTTGCTCTGAAATCTACTCTAAATGGCCTTAACCTACTCATTTTCCTTAGCTGACCTGCTACATTCAGCATATCTGAGCTCTTCTTCCTCCTGAAAACACTCTCCTCACCTGGCTTCCAGGTACCACATTTTCCTGTTTTTTATCTTAACATCATGGGTCATTCCTTTCCAGACTCCTTTATGGGTCCCACCATTCTCCTTGGCTTCATAATATCAATGGGCCCCAGGGCTCGACCCTTGTGCATGTGATGTCCATCTTCCTTCAATCCCCATACCATTCTGTGTGGTCAGTTGATGACTCCCAAATTCACATGCTTATCCTAAACCTTTGCCATGAGTTCCAGACTAGAATATACTACTATGGATGCAGCATTTCCATTTGGATGTTTGACAAACAACTCAAACAACACATACAAAAATGAACTGCTTATGGTATCTCCAAAACCTATTCCACACATGATCTTATCTCTGTCAAAGCTGATCAGATTGAAAATCCTTGGGAGTAATTCTCAACAATTTTCTCTCACACTTTACCTCTAATCCTACAGAAAATTGTAATTACTCTACCATCAGAATAAATCCTATTTACTCTACCATCAGAATTCAACCATTTATTTCCTTCTCCACTGCTACCACCTTGAGCTAAGCTACCATTCTGTTTTTTTGCAGATTAATACAATATCTTCCTAAATTTTTTTCCTGTTTCCATTTAAACTCAGTACTCCTGCAACATAGTCTGTTCTCCATAAAGCAGCCAGAATAATCCTTCTAAAATGTAAGCTAGATCATGTTTCTTTTTGGTTCAAAGTCCTCCAGTGGCTCCTCACTTTTTGCAGAATAAAACCCCAAATCCTTATGATGGCTTAAAAAGATTTACATGATTCCGCTGCCCTCTTAACTTATGAAATTTATTTCCTATGATAATCTTCCTGAATTACTGCATTCCAGCCAGACTGGTCTCCTGTCTGTTCATGAAACATGGGAGTAAACATGCAGTTTGTTTAGAATGCGTTCAAACTTAAATGACCATCAACTTAATATAGACTCCTATGTACTTATGATGTTATGTATGAATTTCATGGTAACCATAAAAACCTTTAATAGATACACAAAAAATAAAGACAAAGGAATCATAACACTAAAGAAAGTCATCAATCACAAGGAAGAGAGCAAGAGGAGAAAGGACAGAAGAACTACAAAACAACCAGAAAACAATGAACAAAATGACAATAAGTACATATGTAGCAATAATTACTTTAAATGCAAATGGTCTAAATGCTTTAATCAAAAGACTTAGGATGACTGAATGAATAAAAAAAACAATATCCATCTATATGCTGCCTACAAAAAAAATGCTTCAGAGCTAAAGACAGACTGAAAGTGAAGGGATGAAAAAAAAATTTCATGCAAATGGAAATGAAAAAAGCTGCGGTAGCAATAATATATATCAGACAAAATAGACCTTTTTTTTTTTCAGACAAAATAGACTTTTAAACCAAAACTGTAACAAGAGACAAGGGCATTACATAATGATAATGGGATCAATCCAACAAGAGAATATAAAATAGTAAATATTTATGCACCCAACATAGAAGCATCTAAACACATAAAGCAAATATTAACAGACTTAAAGGGAGAAATTGACAGTAATACAACAATAGTAGGGCACTTTAATACCCCACTTACATCAACAGATATATCAACCAGTCAGAAAATCAATAAGGAAACAGTGGCTTTGAATGAGACATTAGATCAGAAGGACTTAACAGACATAAATAGAACATTTATTTTTCTAACAGAATGCACATTCTTTTCAAGTGAACATTCTCTAGGTTAGATCATATGTTAGGCCAAAAAATAAATCTCAATAAATTTAATAAGATTGAAATCATATCAAACATCTTTTCTGATCACAACAGTGTGAAACCAGAAATCAATTACAAGAAAAAATTTGAAAAGATAGAAACACTTGGGAGGCTAAACAATATGCTATTGACCAATGGGCAAAGAAATCAAAGAGGACGTTATAAAGACAGGAAAATGAAAATGCAAAGGTGTAAAATCTTTGGGATGCAGAAAAATCAGGTCTAAGAGGGAACTGTATAGTTTATACAAGCCTACTTCAAGAACCAAGAAAAATCTCAGAAAATCTAATCTTATACCTAAAGGAACTAGAAAAACAAAGCCCAAGGTTAGTAGAAGGAAGGAAACAATAAAGATCAGAGTAGAGATAAATGAAATAGAGACAAATTTTATATATATAGACACAAATTTATATATATAAATAGACACAAATATATATATAAAACGATGAAACCAAGAGATATTTCTTTGAAAAGATAAGGAGAATTGGTAAGCCTTTAGCTAGACTCATTAAGATAAAAAGAGAGGCTCAAAATCAGGGGAAAGAAGAAATAACAACTGACATCACAAAAATACAAAGGATTATAAGAAACTATTATAAAATATTATATACCAACAAATTGGACAACATAGAAATGGATACATTCCTAGAAACATAAATCTTCCAAAATTGAATCAGGAAGACGTAGAAAATCTAAACAGAAGGATGTAATGAAATTGAATCAGTGAAGGAAACAATTAACAAATGTAAAAGGTAACCTTTGGAATGGGAAAAGATATTTGCAAATGACATATCTGATAAAGGGTTAGTATCCAAAATCTATAAAGAACTTATCAAACTCAATACCCAGAAAACAATCCAGGTAAGAAATGGGCAGAAGACATGAATAGACACTTTTCCAAAGAAGACATCCAGATGGCTAACAGACAAAAGATGCTCAACATCACCCATCATCAGGGAAATAAACATCAAAACTACAATGAGAGACCTCCTCACACCTGTCCAAATGGGTAAAATTAACACAGGAAACAACAGACGTTGGGGAGGATATGGAGAAAGGGGAATCTTTTATACTGTTGGTGGTAATGCAAACTGGTGCATCCACCAAGTGGATGGAGCTAGAGGGTATTATGCTAAGCAAAATAAGATAATCAGGAAGGCAAATACCATATGATTTCACTCCTCTGTGGATTTTAAGAAGCAAAACAGATGAACATAGGGAATAGAAAAAAAGAGTGGGGGCAAACCATTAAGGAGACTCTCAACTATAGAGAACAAACAGGGTTGCTGGAGGGTAGGTGGGGGATGGACAAAATGGGTGATGTGTATTAAGGAGGGCACTTGTGATAAACACTGGGTGTCATATGCTAAGTGATGAATCACTAAATTGTCCTGAAACCAGTATTATACTATATGTTAACTAAAATTTGAGTTTATTTTCATGTACTATTTTAGACCCTGAATGGATATAAGCTGGCAAATTATGTTCTTGAGTTCTAGAGATTTTTTGAATTATTTCCTTTTCCACATTTTGTGGAATTTTCTATGCTTTCTTGAGTTCCTGTTGTCTGTTGGATCTCCTGAACAGGTCCTTTTTCATCTCTTTTCTGCCTTTCAATTTTTTTGCTCTAGTTTCAGGGAGATTTCCTCATTTTTTTCTCGAAACTATTTTATTGAGTTATGTATTTTTGTCATATTTTTAATTCCTAGATTCTTTTTATTCTTAGCATGTAGCTTTCTTTATCTTGTTCTTATTTCATGGATGTAATACTTATTAACTCTCTGAAGATATTGCTATTTCCCTTGAAGCTTTTCTGTAGTTGATCTCCTCCAGCTTGCTTTTTTTCTCTGTTGATTTTCCTTTCATGGTAGAGGCTTTCCTCTGACTAGTGATGATCCACTATATAGCTGAATGGGAGCTGTATGTAGGGTGGGGAGGGTTCTCATTGGCTCTGAGCTTCACACAAACTGGGATGTTTCACTGGGATATTCTTGATGTCAGTAGTTTTAAGACTTTAATCTTGCTACGTTAGATTCCTCAGAGGAAAATCTTCCAATTGCCTGCTTTGTGAGTATAAGCCTGGCTACCTGTGTTTGCAAGTTGGAAGAAGAAATCAGGCTAGGAATCTCAGTATTCAATATGTATACAGACTTTTGCCTAAACCTATTCTTTTCTCTATGATCCATTCACCATCAACTGTTACTGCGCAATCCACAGGCTCTCTGTTTCTCTCTCTCTCTAGATATCCAACATTTATAGTCTTTCAGCAAAGTGGTGAAGGAAAGTTGCTCAGTTGGCCTGAATAAGGGAGGAGATCTGCAGATCTAATCACTTTTTCTGCAGGTTTTCAATCATTTCTTCTGTTCACATATCTACCTTCACACTTAATTCCAGAGGCACCACTAATTCCTGAGCCTGTATGGCTTTCTGTGATGCAGCCCAGGTTGCTTGTAGGCTTTTCCTACTTTTTTTTAGGGTTCACGTTTTTCAGGTCTTAGTCATTCACTAGTCCTACTACTAGCAGGCTTTCAAAATTTCATTATACCCTCTTCTATTTGTTCTGTGTCTTTTAAAACAAACAAAACCACTTCATTGTAATTTTAGCGAGATTTGGTGATAGAGTGAAGATAGATGTATGTGTCTAATCATTTTTTAACTGGATATCAAGAATAATATTTTCAATGTAAATTTACTCTTTTTTTCTACTAGGAAAGCCGGGTTAGTAAAGCAGTTGAAGTGATGATTCAGCATGTAGAAAACCTGAAGAGAATGTATGCCAAAGAGCATGCTGAATTAGAAGAACTGAAACAGGTTCTTCTGCAAAATGAAAGGTCTTTTAACCCTCTTGAAGATGAAGGTAATAAAAGTTTAATGGTATCAGTTATGTTTTTCTAAGATTCTCCTCTTTCATTCTCTTTCTTACTAATTCTTATGTCTTTAGTATAAAACTCTTAGGTTGTTATGTTAGAATAATAACTCATTCCTGTTATTTATATAGCCCCAAGTAAAATGTAAGTTAGAAAACAGGTTGGGACACAAGGAGGATTCTTTGGTAATGACACCAAAAATTCATTAAATTAATTTAGATTGCTGAGATGAGAGAATATATTTTTTTTTTTTTTGAGAATATATTTCATCCAACCCACTGAGTTGACTCTAATGTTCTCCTACTTAGGGTATGTTAGAATTGGCTCTTTCTCCACACACAAAGCAAAGCACAATAAATTAAATGAGCCACTTTCATCAACAATGGTTTTCTATTTCTTGAAGAAGGAATGACTCTGGCATAGTAAGCTGGCAGACGGATTGGAAAATAAGGACACATCTGAGTCCATGGGAAATACCTTAAAATATAAGGTTTATATAAATCTTGTAATAGTTTTATTTTAAATAATGTGAACTTTTCTGAGCAGAGTTATTTTAATGATCTCTTCCCTTTTCTAGGAAAAGTAATCATATTTGATAACCTGATCTATAGTTTTGGATTCATTTATTCAGCCTATATCCATGTAGCATCTCCTATGTGCTGGGTAAGCATTGTGGACATATATAGTGACATAGAGGACAGTATTCAGATGGTAATTGTTATGAGTCACCAAATGATAACCAGATATTTTTACTGTTCAGTAGTCTCTAGGGTCTTAAATATTTCTATTGCTTTTCTTTGTTAAGAAATAAGACCATTGCAATAAATTGCTTATGTAATTCCTCAAATGTGCCAATGTGTTTTTCCTTTCAGATGACTGCCAAATTAAAAAACGTTCATCTTCCCTAAACTCCAAGGTAATTACTAGTTGACTTAACAGTCTATCAAATGTTACGGATGAGATGGTTTTAAGATATTATTTGAAACAACACGGTTTTAAATGTAAATCATGTATATTTATGTAGATATGCATACGCATGTTTAAGTTTATATATGTATGCTTTTATACTTCTTACTATATTTGTACATCATTTAAGTTTGTCTGAAAGCAAGAGGAAAGCCACATAGTTCCTCTCTCATGTAAAACTGGAGATGGAAATAGGCAGTCCAAAAATGGTAGAGTGGCTTCACAAAATCCATAGGGCCCAGTCTCCTCTTGCTGCTTCATCACCCTCAGCCCTCTGCTTCCACCTCATGGTCTAGGGTGGCTCCATCAGTACAGGGGGCACCAAGTTCTGGTCATTATATCCAGTCACATTCTAAGAAAAAGGAAGACATAAAAAGTGTTCCCTCTCCCTCTAATGACAATTCCTAAGAGTCCCAAATAACATTTCCTTGTCATTCTTGGTTGAAAGACTAGAAAATCCATTTTTATTTCTGGAGGCTTTTGTGCCTAACTGAAAATCAAGGTGTTCTTTACCAAATAAAAAGGGGGGAAATGGAATATTGGAAGTCAACCAGCAGTTTTTGCCAATTTGAAAATCAGGATTGCACAGAATTTTTGAGCGAGAGACTTTAAAATCATTCCATCCAAATCTTTTTCACAGATGAGGAAAATCACTTTCACAGAAGTTAAGTGATTAGTTATGATCATGTAGTAGCAGAACCATGGTGAGAACCCAAATTTCTTGGATTGCAATTTGATATTCTTGATACTCAGCTAACCTATGAAATTAGGAATGGTGGTTTAAGAAAAGGATTCACCTTAAGCTTCTTTAGCTTATTTCCTACATTTAATATATTTTTTATTTCCTGAAGTTGTACTTATATACTACTGTGATTTCTAAAGTTTAACATTTTCCTATGCAAATCTGAGGTTGATAAATAAACACATCCATTTATCAAAATATCCTGCCCATCTTTAAATGTCTTAAATGGAAAAGATGAAACCATGAAAAAAACAGCTAGAAAATAGGTGCACATGTATCTCCTCTTGAGTTGGGAAAGCCTCAGCATAAAATAAATGATAGCAAAAGATAGATTCAGCAGCATTAACAATGAAAAAAACTTCTGCCAGAATTATCATTAATAACATTAACATGGGCAACAATCATACAGTTCCCAGAGCAGATATATACATGATTATTCACATAAAAAAAGTGTTCAATGTCACCAGAAAACTAAACAAGAAACTTTATTTGGCAAAAATTATAGTCATCCAGTCTTGGAGAAGGTAGAGTATAAATTGGTACAATATTTCTGGAAGGCAATTTGGCCATAACAAAATATGTCCACGGGTTAACTCAGCAGTGGTCAAATGCAGGGATGTGTATGCACAAGGATACCCATTAGTGTTGTATCCAGTGAGAAAATACTGATAGTTTTCTAAATGTACCTTTGCCCTCCTCGGGTAGCCATCTTCTCTCCGAAGGGTGACCATTGCCTCTTTGCCCAGAAATATTGGAAATGCAGGAATGGTAAGCAAATACCTAAGTGTTCTTAATCAAAAGCAAATTCATTTTCGTATAACAAAAACATAAACTTCACTAAAGTCATATTTCATTATTTCTTTAACATCTGAAATTTAAAGGTGCCTGGGATGGAAAATGACCGATTCAGTAGGAGGTCAAGCAGCTGGTAAGTGTAATTTTATGGTTGCTCTTTGGGAACCCTACTGTTTTATAATTGACTGAAGTAAATGTGTGCAATAAGTAATAAAGTAACATTTGATTTGCACAGGGTATATGCACAATAATTATAAAATAGGTGTATAATCATGAAATTTTATTATGAAGTATGTGAGTGTGCCAACAAAAAATAGAACATATAATTTTTGTATTAATTTAGGTAGGAAATAAATTGATAATGGCTACACATGTATTTAATTTGACAAGTGGCTATAATCATCTTTACTTAGGCGTATTTTGGGATCAAAGCAGAGTGAACACCGTCCCTCATTACATCGATTTATTAGCACCTATTCCTGGGCAGATGCTGAAGAAGAAAAATGTGAACTAAAGTAGGTAAAGCTTGGTGTGTGTGTTAACCTGACGTGAGCTGGGAAACAGTGGGGATCACTTTTATTCCATGGAAATGAGATAATGCTGCATTATTCAAAACAGAATTAAGACTTTTATAAACCATAGTGCATTGCATAAATGTTATTTGCAAATACATTTACTCTTGTAGCACTCAAAACTGTAAGGTTTGAGATTCTTAAGTTAGACACTGAAATTTGCCAGAATTGTGAAATTATTTTTTTCCTGTATAGGTATCTGGTCATCAGGGAGAAAGGTCAATAAAGAGCCACAGAAGTAAAATGTCCATCTACTTAGATGGAAAAACAAAACAAAACATGAATTATATGTAACATATAGCCACATATGTAATATATGTGCATTGTATATACATCTATCTTCTCTATGTAAATGAACAGTAGGGGAAACAAAACTCTATATTGCTGTGGAAGTGTAGCAATAGGTAGAGGGCAGAGGAGGGACAGGAAGAAATGTTGCCTCTAACTCCTTGAGTGACATTGGACCAATTGTTTAACTTTATTTGGTCTCTGTTTCCTCATCTGTAGAGATCTTAATGAAATGATTTTATGTTCATTTTATACATGTTTATACCTGCCTACTATGTGGTAGATACCAAACTCAATCCTAAGGGGTATAAAGATGAGTAAGACGTAGTGCCTACCCTCAGGTTTTGTGTTTGTTTTTAAAATAATCCTGGGAGCCTACTGCATGTGCTGAAAACCATTTTCAGATTTAGAGTTAACATAATGGATTTTTCTGATCTGGGTTAAAAAAAAAATCAAGTTTTCTTCAAAAGATTACAATCTATTTTTTGCTTTTTGTTAGTATGGTATGATTTCTACTGAGAAGTCTTAGTAAAGAAAAGACTGAAATCTTGAGAATCTTACAAGAATTCAGTATTTGGGGCCTTTTCTTTTTTAAGATTTTATGTATTTATTTTAGAGAGAGCATGCAAGTTGGGGGAGGAGCAGAGGGAGAGGGACACGCAGATTCCCACTGAGCATGGAGCCCAACGTGGGGCTCGATCCCACAACCCCAAGATCATGACCTGAACCAAAATCAAGAGTCCACATTCAACCAATGGCCATGCAGGTGCCCTGGGCCAGGTTTCCTTTAAAAACTAAAACTAGCCACATACATTCCCTATAGATGTCCAAGAAGAAAAAAAAAACTTTAAGAAACAGTTGCCTTTGGTAATAGAGCATTATGAGCTTGGAATTTCAAAATTCAACTAGGAACTCATCAGTAAACATGATAATGAAACAAATTAAGTTCAGGTTAAAGGAAAAACTCTTTAGATAATATGATTTTATTTAAAATATATTTGATCCAATTTATATTCCCCAGCTCATTAAATAAACACTTTTAAAATTAAGATTTTTAAAGAAGAAATGACACTTTGGTATTGCTCCAGTTTAGCATAAAATCCACTGTTAATATTTTATGGGGTAGAAGGAGAAAAATTTTACCATATGTTGAATAAAAACAATACAGAGGAAGAAATACTCACCTTTGTTTTTTAAAGTTTAGTTACTATACACAAGCAGAGAAAGAAATCACAGGTTAGTAACACCGGTTAATTATGAGTGGTGATAACTGACGAACTTCTACATGTTCTTTATAAATTTCTCCTTTTTACTTATCCTTTGGCTAGTATCCCAACTTCCTACAACAAACATTTTTCTAAATATAGCAAGTTTTTAAAATTAAATTCCTATAAATAAAAATTTAGTGATTTGATTTTAGAATTATATAGCAAATCTTTCTAAAGAAAAACAAATACCTGAGAACCTCTTTAGTAAATAAAAATTAGCAATATTTTATAAATAATCTGGTATATTATCCATAGTTTCAAAAATTTAAACATAATACTTATTTACAGAACTAAAGATGACTCAGAACCACCTGGAGAAGAAACAGTAGAAAGGACAAGGAAGCCAAGTCTTTCTGAAAAGAGAAATAATCCATCAAAATGGGATCGTTCTTCAATGTAAGTTATCTGCTTGCTAATGATACCATTTTTGTGGAATGGGGAAAGATGTGCAGGGTTAACAGGTTAATCTTAAAGTACTAAAAGACCTGTCAAATTGTTAAATTTAAGATAAAAAAAAAAAAACTTCACATGGTCTACAGGAGTTAAAAAAAAAAACGTGACAGGTCACAGTGTTAGGAACTTGGTCCTGGAGCAGAGGGGCCTAGGCAAGTTCATCTTCTTTTGAGGGGCAATTTCATCATCTAGAAGATAGGGATGACAATAGTAGTACATGTAAAATGCTAAGACTTAGTTGATGTTATAATAAGCTTTTCTTGTGTGTCTTATTTCTTAAACTAAAAATAGTTTAAATTTCAATATAGCACAAGTCCAGGGTATGGTGAGAAATAAGTGACATATGTATATACACACATATCATGCTCTACTCAATAAATAACATTTTTGTTTCTACTACTGTAGGAATTTAAGATGCCTTACCTGATTGAAAGAATGAGATAAATACTCAAATGTTCTTGTTAGGAGTTAAATAATGCCCGAGTCACCTAATTTTCAGATCATCACCATAGCATTTCTTAACTCTAAATCATTTCTTTAATTCTAATAATTATTGGGGTGGGAGTGGGGCAAATTGTGGCCCAAACCAAGATAGCAGGTCACATTATGTAGCTTATTATAAGGCAATGTTTGTGATAGGTAGGGCAGATTGATGACTGGTATTGTTGGCAAAAGAAGTGTTTCTAATAACAGATTGTTGCTATTACCAGATTCTGAATTTGTATTTTCCTTATAGTTATGACACAGTAGCTTCATGGGCAACAAATCTCAAGACTTCCTTCAGAAAGGCGAATAAGGCACTCTGGCTTTCTGTTGCATTCATTGTACTGTTTGCAGCTTTGATGAGCTTCCTCACAGGACGATTTTTCCAAAAGTCTGTGGATGCTGCTCCCACACCAGATGGGGACTCCTGGGTGTCTCTAGAACAAATCTTGTGGCCGTTTACCAGACTCCAACACAATGGACCACCACCAGTGTGACTAGAGCACATCTTAATGTGTGTGTCTTGATTTTTCGTTTCAGTATCTGAACTTCGTAAATTAGTCATTTTTAGCTGGGAAATTATAGCATTGAACCAGAGGGTCTCAGAAGGACTGTAAGGTATTTTACATTCCCTCTTTCTGTGATTTTCCTCTCTGGCTAAAATACAATGGGGAGGAAGCCTGCCTATAATTTTTAATGAGCTTTTTGAGGAGGAGATATTATATATTGTTGTTTGTTAAAATTTATTGAAATAAAGAACCTCAAGTCTTCCTAGAGTGAAAAGTGGAAGTCTCAGTAGGCCAAATATTCATGGGGGGGGGGGAACCCACTTTTTAAAAAATAAATTTGAGTATAAAATGCTTATTAAATTTTAATAACCTCTTGAAATATATTCACTCATTACATTTTATTGAAGAAATATCTGATTTTGCTCCAAGTTGCTTGATTCTTCATACTGCATAAAATTTATCAGTGGGGATTAAGAATAGCTGAGTAATCTAGTTGAGAGTAGCATATAGCACACAGAGTCAATAAACTGGCAGTTGGAGCTCCTAATTTTTTCCATTGCTTTTTTGGAAGCAAAATCCTTAACCATGTGATATAAAGTAGAATGAAACTCAGTTTCCTCCTGAAGGGCTTCAGAGAATGCCTCACTGTTTTCATTGATCTTGAGCCTTTGCGCTCTGTCACCACTAAACATTAAAAGGGTCCAATTAGGTTTCTGAGTAGGTTCTTCAGTAAGGTGTTCCTTCAGCTAAAGAAAAGGAAAATTAGAGAAATCCATTAATAGTTCTTCTTTTAGGTATTCTGGCAGAGTATAATTAATTTGAACTCAGTCCCCAAAATTGCTAATATAAAAGAAACATTCTTAAACCATGTTTGTATGGAGCTTATCATTCAACAGAGATTTATTGAGTAGCTACCAGATGCAGGGAAGGTTCAAGGTGCTGGGATATAACAACAACAAAGAAAAATACATATTAACAGTTGCAACAATAAAATCCTATCCTCAAGTAGCTGATATTCGAGTGGGAGAAACACACAACACACAAGGAGGCTCATGCTAAAACATTCATCAGCTTTTAGAATTTGATATCTTTTTCATCAGGCAGTAGTAAATGTGCCAAATGCTAAATTAAATTGGAGGCCTGTCTCTGAGGAAAAAGTTTGTGAATCATAGATATATTCACATTAAAAGCTTCCATCTGTTCTCATGTTGATGTAAAGAGTTATAAGGACGCTAGCCTGAAGTCAAGAGTGTTTGATACCATAATGGACAATGAAGGCATAACCTTTATATAGTTTGGTTTTATATCTTTGACAAAATAAACAAAAGTGAAGTTTTAAAACTATTTTGGATGTTAATTTTTTTCACCTTTCCAAGAGGAGAAACCATGGCCTACATTCATTTAGCTTTTGAGTATCTTCTTTTGGAGGACAAAGTAGTTTTATGGGTTTTTGCATACTATACCTTAACTATAACTTTTTTTGAATTACATACTGTATTCCACTTGCTCCAACCAAATGCAAAAGCAGAACTTAACAGGGCCAGTTGTCGATAAGCTTTCATTTCTACTAAAGGATCCTGTCAATATAAAAACAAATAGAGTTGATCATAGAGCCTTTCACCAAGCCTTCCATCTTTGGCCTCCTACAGTCTCTTCTCAACACAGAAAAATCCATTTAAAATGTAAGTCAGATGATATGACAACTCTGTCAGAACAGGGCAATGGTGTTGCCTTTCTCTTCTCAGAAGAGAAGCCAAAGTCCTAACAATGATCTACAAGGGCCTCTCTGATCAGACATTCCCCCCCCCCACAGACATCCCATTATCATCTCCTTTGCTTCTCCTTTTGCTCTCTGAGCTCCACTTGGCTAAATTCCCCACCTTCAAGTTTTGTTCAGATCTTACCTTCTCATTGAATGCCCCCTCCTCCAATACCCTATTCGATACTGTATGTTGCCCTAACCCCATGATTCCTAGCTGCCCTTTTTTCTATATAAAATATAAGATTATCTAGTATATTTTTGCCTTCCTCTGCTAGAATGTAAGCTCCACGAAGGCAGGTACCTTTGTTTTATTCACTAATGGATCCTAAGCATCTAAAACAATGCCTAGAATATAAGCGTTCAGAAAAAAAAATTCTTGAATATTGAGATGAATAGTACACTACATTCAGCATTTGTAGAATAACTGGCAATTGAGTTACTAAAATCAATGTGTTTTTTTTTCCCCTACACATATGTACACACTCTTAGTGATATTATTTTCAGATGTTATATGGCTACCTACATTGTCATTTTCTGGTATATTATAAACGAGTTCTATAGCCAAGAACATCTTTCATGATTAGAGCCTACTTTGTCTTCATTTATATATCATAAATATTTACTAAACATCTGATTCAAGGAATATGCTAGGTGCTAGAAGAATCATAGGTGATGAAAGAACAGTCCTCATCCTCATGGTGCACACAGTTTAACATGGAAGGATCTTATTTAACTAAAGTCTTATGAGTAACGTGAAGCAGTATGCAGACAGGGAGCCTCTCTCAAGAAACAGAAGGAAGTGGGTTCTGTATATCAGTTGTCCTTTTATGTGTTTAATTTTGCCTAATTTGTCATGTTTGGGAAACTGCTGAGTCATTTACTCTTTTAAGAAATCTTACATATATCCAGCCTGGAAGAAGAAAGAAAATACACAAAATGCAAAGTTGCTCTAAATACCTTTGCACTAAACTGACCAGCTGTGGGTAAGGCTCCATTTGTCAATATGAAGATCATACTACAGGCTTACTTTCTTGGGAAAGATTATTAAACTTGAGAGAACCTGGATTTCTGGTGTTGCCATTTATTCCTTCCTAACCATAATTCTGTGTAAGTGAATATAGAAAACCTAAAATGTACCTGAAGAGTTACATAACATTCAATACTTGCTAACATTCTAAATGTCCATTACATTAAATTTGGAAAGATTTGTTCTTACCTTATAATTTATAACAACATAAAAATGAGAGTGTCCACTAGGGAAGATATTCAATCCAGCTTCTTTCAAAGCGTAAATAAAAGAAATAGGAGTCATCCATTTTCCTTCCAAAATAGAGGAATGCTTTTTGTTATTTAGTTTGATTGATGCTAACATGCAGAGGTTTTCCTAGTTTCAATAAGAAGAAAGATAATTACATCATTATTCCATTTCCAGCCTTTAGGTTCTTCATACTAGTTTTTTTTGTTTTTTTTTTTTTTTTAGCTCATTCTGTATTAAAAAGAATTCAGGATGGATATGTTTTGGGCCAGCTCTGAGAAGTCTCACATAAAGTCTCCCTTTTTATCCCAACCAGTCAGTCGGTCAACCCTTTTGGGGCTTTATCTGAACAAATCAAGGGACTAAAAGATCTCTCAGGTCTCCACCCATTGTATGAGTTATGATCTAAGAAAACTGAATATGGTCACACTGAATTACAAAAGCTATTTGATAGCTATTCATGTTGCAACTTTTAAGGATAATTTTTTTCGACATATAAGATTTAACATAACAATGCAAAATTATCCAGTTTTAAAGTTCGCAAAGTGGCAATTTGAAAGTGTACAGAGTTCACATCTCTCATCTGGTTTTAAGGAGGAAGCCTCTTTAGAGTGGATCAAAAACTCTCTGGAAGTCACACTGCAGCAGGCTTGTAGCTTCATTAATTGGTTTATTTATTTTATTAAATTAATTATGTAAATAGTTATTTCTACTAACTTTAGGGTACAAATTTGCACATCACTTGTTATATATTATTACCTATCCAATCACTATTTCATTTAGAAATTATGGCTCAAAGTATATTTTAAGTATATTTATAACCGATTTCAATATGTAAATCACCAGTGACTGATTACTTTGACATACTTTTACTGTCATCAAAGCGGTTTACCGCTCTCATGTGACTTACTATAATTGTGACTTACCTTAATTTGTATTTGAATCTCAGTAAATACTGTAGTCACAGTCAAAAGTACTTTATTCACATCAAGTGGTCTTAGTTCCCATGACTGGAATGGCATGTTAATATGAGAATCTTGAATCAAGGTAACAGGGCCAAAAGTTTCTAGGCTGAATGTTATAAGTCTCTCTTCTGATTTGTAAGAGACATTGCTGATGCCATCAGTTTGCCAATGTTTACCTTCATAATAAGGAAGAGAGTAACAGTTTCATTTTTTCTATACAAAAATAAGATGAATGAAACCACCCAAATAACTGCAAAGGTGTATAAATTTATCTTTTACATTTAGAAGAGAATCTCTACAAAAACCACTTTTGCTGGGAGGTTCTTCCTGTCTACAGGATCAAATCCAAACTCCTCAGCATGATATATAAGGCCTTCAGAATGAAGACTCATGTCTCTGGCTTCATCCCTTGCACTTCCTACACCTGGTTTTAGCTATGCTTTTTTTCCCCCTCCCCCAACAGCATCATATACCACTGAGCCTCTGCACATGCAGTTCTTTCTTCCTAGATTACTTAATCCTTTAGAGAACCCCTCCTCATCTTGTTTTAAAAAAAAAAACTTTAAAATTCACCCATGTTAAGTATATATTTTTAGTAAATTCATCCAGGTGTGCAACCATTACCACAATCCAGTTTAGAACATTATTATTCTCTCCTTAAGATCCCTCATGTCCATTTTATAGTTAATTATTCCCATTCTCACCTCTAGCCACAGGCAACCATTAATATACTTCCTGTCTCTAAAGATTTGTCTTTTCTGGACTTTTCATATAAATACAATCATATGTGGGTGGTCTTTTGTGTCTCTTACAACTTAATAATAAAACACAACACAATTTAAAAATGGGCAGAAGATTTGAGTAAATATTTCACCAAAGAAGATCTAGTAAAGGATAATAAACACATACAAAAAGATGCTCCACATGATCAGTTATTAGGGAATTCAAATTATAACCCCAGGAATACCACTTCATACTCATTAGAAAGGCTAGAATAAAAAAATAATCACAAATGTTGGCAAGGATGTGAAAAAAAGGAAACCTCATATAATACAGGCAGGCATGTAAAATGGTACAGTTACTCTGAAAAACAATTTGACAGTTTCTTAAAAAGTTAAACATAAATTTATCATTCAACCCACCAATTCCATTCCCAGGTATATACGCAAGAAAAAGGAAAATGTACATCCACACAAACACTTGCATGCTACTGTTCTCTTAGTCTCTTAAGGCCCAGTTCAATATTCCATACTATGACAAGTCTTCCTTAATGCTCCAGG